GGCCCCAACTTAGCTTTGGGAAAGGTTGCCCTCATGAATGATGACAGGAAAAGCAGTCTAATATTAGCTCCATGAGATGACAAGAAGACAAAGCTTTTCAGTGGGCAAAACCACCCATACTTCATGGACTAATAGCATACTCCTCTTCAGCTGATGGTCACAGTTGTGGCTGTCCCTGAGAGGGGTTTTGGTTCACTCAACCAGCAAATGGTTCATGACAGAACAAATAATTATGTTGTTCTCAGTAGCTGATATGATTGGATTAAAACCATAATAGTGTTAATACATGAGCTTTGGATGATCCAAACACTCACTATTGTTCTCCTTTCTTTCTTTAATCTTTCCACCACCACTCTCCTCTTTGTGTTTGATCTGATAGCATTGGATTGAAACAGTGATTGACACTCCATTTCATGTTCCACTTAACATGTGAGTTTTGGATGATCCAAATATCTTTCAAATCAAAATCATTCAGAAATGGACTTTAAATATATTTCTCAGTAGCTGAATTAAATGTTTTAATCTTTCTCTTTATGTTTGGTCTGATAGATATAATTGAATTAAGGCCATGATGGGCACTTCGATTCTTGTTCATCAATGAGGTCAGGGTGGAATTGTTGTTTTCAGTAGCTGAATGAAAGACCCTACATTTTCTTTTTATCTTTACACCCACATCCTCCTCTTAATGCTGTCTGATATCATTGGATTAAGACAGTGATGAGCACTTCATTTCCTGTTCATATATGAGCTATGGAAGATCCAAATACCCTCCAAATCAGATTCATTTTCCTCAATACTCTTCTCAGAAGCTGAATAAAAGGTACTACTTTCCTTTCCAATTTTTACAGCCTCCTCTTTATGTTTGATCTGATATCACAGGATCAGAACAATGATGAACAGCTCATTTCTTGTTCATATATGAATTTTGGATCATCCACCAAATCAAATTCTTTCACAGAAGTGATTCACTCAGTGATGATCATGGAACAAATTTACTCAATATTGTTAATGTTTCAGCTATGGATCATCCCAACATCCTCTAACTCGATTTCATTCAGCAAAATTGATGAACATGAAACAACAGATCGACCCAACAGGGTTGGCATAATTTATCGCAGCTGCCAATCAATAAATCTAAGATACATAAATATATTATAGTTAATAAAGCCAATTCATCTGCCACCAGCTAACGCCGGTCAGTGAAGGCTTGCAGAAAGAAATGCAGGTCAGAAACGGAACAAAGAAAAGAAAGAGGAGCTCGGACTTTTCTGTAAAGAAGGAAAGCCGTTCAATCTGTCACCAGCGAACTACTGGTCAATTGAGGGGCGGCAGAGGTTGAGGTCAGGAGAAGGGAAAAAGAAAAGGAGCGCATGCTTTTTCTTGCAAGGAAGAGAACAAAAGCCAAATCGCTGGCTCCTCAGCGGAGCCAAAAGAGACAGCCGCCATCAATGGCTTTTGTCAAGCAGGTGGTGAGGTCGGCTTGGTCGGTGGAGCTCGGGCCCCCCACCTACCTCTCTTCCCTGTCAAGATGTCACCCACCACCACCTCCCCCACACCCCCTCTGCTCACCGAAGCTGCCCACCTTTACAACCACCAAGTCCAATATAAATATGTGATGCTATGATACATAAATGAAAGATGTGTTGTTTTTGGGAAAGACCAACCGTCCAAGTCCATTCAAAATGTTGGATTCTATGTCGGAATTCTTATATTTGTCATGGTCTTTGATGACAACTCATCTGATTTGGTCTTCATAATATTGAATTTGGTAGGAAAAAAATAATTTACTTTAAAAACCGAATAATGAAGTTTTACGAGAAAAATTTTAAAATACCAAAAATACCATTCAAATGGAGGATCCTTTTTATTGAACCTGACGACTTGATTTAAACTCGATCGATCCAAGTCAAATGGATTCAAGTCAATCCTACGAGAAGGATTGGGTTGAGTTTGAATAAAAAGACAAATGGGATTATACAAGAGTTATACTAAACGAGTATAACCTAAATATAATTAACGGTCAATGCTCCTCCCTCCTCTACTCCTCTTTAGTGGCAAAAATGACAGCATCCGCCCCCTCCCCCCCCTTTTAATAATAACAAGTTTCTCTGTTCCTCTCTGGTATTTATGAATGACAATAAAATCTTTCCCTTTATAGTGATGGTAAACTCCACTGCTCCTCTATGACAATGAACAATGACGACAAACTCCTCTGCTTCTCTCTAGTATTTGTGAATAGTGGAGACATCCTTCCCTCTTCGATAGTAGTGAACTTTTCTATTTCTCTCTAGTATTTATAAATAATGATAGTATCCTCCCCTCTCCGCGGTTGTATTAACGACATTACCGAGTGATGATGATCTCGTCTCCTCTCTGACTACAAACGATAATGTCTTCTTTAACGACAACATCTTCCCCTCTCCCGCAACAAACTTCTCCTTTTTATTTTAAGAAAAAATAATAATATTTTTGAAATTGATTTCTCTTATTGATCCATTAAATATATACATTAATTTTATTACCATTGTGAGAGTGATTTTGTATGCTTATATAATACATAAATAAAAGATATATTATTTTTAGAAAACATCACTCATCCAAGTCTATTCAAAATATTATATTCTATATCGAAATTCTTATATTTATCATGACCTTCGATGATAACTCATCCCATTTCATCTTCATATTATTTGATTTAATAAAAAAAAGTAATTTACCTAAAAAATCTCAATAACGAGGTTTTAGGAGATGGCATCCCAATCTTTGATTTTTATCATAGGTACCTTTTTTATTTAAAATATCAAAAATATCCTTAAAATCAAGGGCCCTTTTTATTGAACCTAGATTTAAACTTGACCAATTCAACGGTGAATTCAGTCAAACTAAGATTACAGTCTAAGTTAAATAGATTCGGATCGGATCCTACAAAATAGATTATATCATGTTTAAGTCAAAAGATAAAGAGGATTATATGAGGGTTATATCAAATGAGTATATCTTGTAATTGACAACCAATGCCCTTTTTCTCTCCTCTACTCTTCTTCGGTAGTGAATAGTGACAACATCCTTCTCTCTTTCATGGTAGCGAACTTCTCTACTTCTCTTTTGTATTTGGGAATGGCGGTGACATCCTCCCCTCTCTAACAATAGCAAACTCCACTACCCTCCAATGATGAATGATAACGATGAACTCCTATGCTCTTCGGTATTTAAGAATGGTGGCGGCATCCTCTCATCTCTAACAGTGGCGAACAACAACGATGAACTCTTCTGCTCCTCCCTAGTATTTACAAGCTATGATAGTTTCCTCCCCTCTCCAATGATAATGAACTCCTTTACTCCTCTCCGGTAATGAATGTCAATGTGAACTCCTCTACTTCTCTTTGGTATTTACAAATAGTGATAGCATCCTGCTCTCTCTAACATCAAATTTTCTATAATGACTATGTTCACGGTCTAGGTTAAATGGATTTGGATCGAATTCTATGAAACAGATTATGTCAGGTTTGAATCAAAAGATAAAGAGAGTTATACGAGGGTTACATCGAATGAATATAACCATAGTATAATTGACAACTAGTGCTCTTTTTCTCTTTTATGCTCCTCTCCTATGGTGAATAGTAGTAACATCCTTTCCTCTCTGATGATAGCGAACTTCTCTACTCTTTTTTGGTATTTGCGAATGGTGACGATATCCTCCCCTCTCTAATGATAACAAACTTTTTTGGTATTTGCGAATGGTGACGATATCCTCCCCTCTCTAATGATAACAAACTCCACCACTCCTCTCCAATGACAAACTCCTATGCTCCTCTCTGGTATTTGCAAATTGTAGTGGCATCCTCTCATCTCTGATAGTGGCAAATGATAACGACAAATAACTCTACTCCTCTTTAGTATTTACGAACGACAACAGTTTCCTCCCCTCCCCAAGATAGAGAACATCTTTGCTCCTCTTTAACAACAAATGTCAATGACGAACTCCTCTACTCCTCTGTAGTATTTACAAATGGCGATAGGATTTTGCCCTCTCTGACATCAACTTTTTTTTATAGCAGTTGCGTTGGTAATATTGAGCAGCACTACAAACGATATTAATATTCATCAATGACAGTACCGAGTAGCCACCACCATTGGCATCAACTTCTCCTCTTCGACTATGAGCAATAGTGTTTTCGTCAACCACAACATCCTCTCCTCTCCAATGACAAACTTCTCTATTTTTTTTTTCTTTAAGGAAAAAATGATAATTTTCTTTGAAACTAATTTTTTCTTATTAATAATCCTATTACCATTACGAGAGTTTTCACAGGTTTTACATATTTATATGTTGAAAATGGTTGATTGTTCACTAATTACTTATATTTATATTTTTGACATCATATAAGAATTTTATTATTTTTTATAAAATAAGAAGATATTGATGATCTAGAACTAAAAGAGGATCTTTGTTGGTGAATATTGTTAAAATGTTGAGATCTTAAGTTTGGATCAATAAATTTAGTAGAGTTATTCAAGAGAAACGTAATTATATTTGGAACATATTTTAGGATTATTATTGATAGTTTTTTATATTTAGGTTTGAACCGATTAATTCTTATTTTTAGTTACAATCTGGTGTGAAATTGTTAACATTAGCTTTCTCTTGCCAAAAGTAACATTTCTTATATTTTTGTATTGATAGCTTTTCTAAAATTTTATTTTAGCATTTATATAATTATCATGAAGGGTTTATAATTCTTATCTTAATTGATGAAATTAGACAAACACTCCGTTGAAGGTTTGTTGGCAAGAAGCTAACAATGACAGTGTCATCAACATGACCCCCTTCCTCTCCTATTTATACTTTAAATTATTATGACTCACACTATCTCTACTTCTTGTTGGCTATAGGGATGACAAAGGAGCTGACGACGGAAATGGTGATGTTGCCGATCACAATCGACAAGAAGGTTAGCAATGACAACCTTATTTAGCATTACCATTGTAATCACCAATGATTTTTTTCTTTCTTAACATAAATCAAATTATCATAAATAATATGATGCTTTATTTAAATTATTAGCTTTCTATAGTATGGTTAAAGAAACGTTTAAAATTGATTTCCTTAATCATGTGAACAAGTTAGGAATTTTATCAATTAATTAAATTATTAATCAATTTATTTCCTAATAAATGATGTACTTTTTAGAATAGTTCAAAATTTATTTTTGTATGTGAACCATAAGAAATATATATATTATAATTCTATCTTTATATGTAAAAGTATAATAAAAATAAATTATAAATATAAAAAAATTAAATTACTATTTACCTTTTGCGGAGAACTCTTCTTCTTGTATATAAAGAGTGCTGTCCCTTCCTCATTCCTCACAAACCCTAAAAAAAAAAATTTAAGAAAAGGATCTACCAAGAGGTATGATACTTTATTTTTTTATTACTAATTTTTATTTATGATTTAAGATATTTGATATTAGAATTATTATAATTTGTATGATGCATAATAAAATTTTAATTTTAAATTTTTTTATTAATAAATAATGATAATTGAACTATGATATTAGAATGATAAGTTAATTTAATAATAATTTAAATTTATTTAATTAGGCATATTTATGTTTCAAGGAAGGGTATCCAACATCATAATGTGATCTTATGTTTTCATATAGATACAGGCCCTAGTTCTAAAAAAATAAGATTTTAATGGGTCCATCTGCAATCAATTCTGATATATTCATCAATTGGAAAAGTATATGTATCCATGACATTATTAAATCTATGTCTACAATGTTTGTGGTTTGCCATCTCGTCTCAATTTGGCAAAGGAAAAATATATAGTGGTAGACATGATATGTTTGTAAGTATATAATCAATACCTAAAAATTAAAGATAAAAGAGTAATATTTTAGAAGAAGAAAATATTTTATGTCGATTAGAATTACCACAACAATATAATCAACCTTACAATCCAAGTCAAAATCAGCAGCTGTGGAGTCAAACCTTGTCGAGGGGCATTTTAGTCCCAACGTGAAATTAATCGTAGTTTTACGTAAGAGCATTTTCGTAATTTTAAGGACATTGTTCTAAGCGGTAACCACACCCGGCTTTGGAAGTGGCGGTGACGGGACTACGCGGGCCCCTGGGGAGCTCCCCTTGTTGCCGTTCGCGTACAAAAAGATTCCCCCACGCTTCTCCCACCTCTCTCTCTCCCTCTGTAATCTTCGCTCGACCAAAGGAAAGCCGAGGGCGAGATCGGCGCCAAGACTCGGATCGTGAGATCACTCGATCTCATCAAGGCAAGTCTCTGGAGCTATCTCGTTCTTGATCCAGCGTCGAGTTCATCTTTTACTTTTTGGTCTTCGATCATCTCGATGCCTAGTTTCGTCTTCTGCTATGATCTTTGATAATGCAAGGTCAAAGTTTTTGGGTGATGCAGGCTCTCAACCGGATCGATCGTTTTCTGTAGAAAGTTCTGGTTTTGTTCTATAAATCGTAGTAAGATCGGATCTTTTTTTTTTATTGTGCCGCTTCGTTCGATCGAAGGTGACCCTTTTTTGTTAGTTTTCTAATGTTTCATCGGTCACTACTGTGCTCTATAGAATTTAGCTACTTTTGGAAACTAGATATATCATTTTCTTGGTGGAAACTTTCACTGTTTTTGATCTTTTTATTCCTGAAATGCTTCAAACATTTGTATTGCTCATTTGTGTTTGATTCGTTCTCTAGAAACAACACAGGAAGCATACAAACAATTAAGCAACCAAAGTGAGAAAACTTAGTTGATCGCAGTCAGATCTCTGCATCCTTCTCACTGATGAAGCCTTTGGAGTCACTGATAAAACTTAGTTGATAGCAGATGTGATTTGCATAATATATAGGACCCCTGCAGCCTAATTGGTTTAGGTGGCCCAGCTGGCACACTGGTAGTCCAGTTTGACCAGTTCCAGTGGATGGTAAACGGAATCTGATGATCCTGGTTGTTCTCTCAATGGGTCAAAATTGGTCCCAAATGAAACTGATGGTGGGTAATTAAGACACCATCTTTCTTATTGGGTAATGCTAAGGCAATATTTCCAATAATGCAGTCCTACTAATTTGCGTATGAAACGTTTTACAGTTCCATTTTCTTTGGTTAAAAGTACTACTTTAATCTGGTACGATCTCTGTTATTCATTTATGCATCCATAAGCAGCTTTTTGATTGTTTTTTGTCAGGTGTGAAGGAACTGTAAAGGAAGATAAAATGGCTGAAGACTTGCAAGCAAGTTCGGACAAGATTGAAGTGAAGCTGTCTGAAACGGTTAATTCATCAGTAATCATTTCCTTCCTTCTTATGAGCACTTATATTTGTGTAACTATAAACAATGCAAAAGTGTATATCTTGCTGCAGTAACATAAGCTAGACTTTTTTAACCAGGAAAGTTCTTCGAAAGTATTACAATTTTAAAACTGTCTGCTTTTGTTCAATTTCAGAATTGGGTAACTGCATGTCTGAATCATCTCTTGATTCTCTTCCTTGTAAAGGAGACACCCTGCCTCGTTTTGATTTATTGGAAAAAGGAAAACCTACCGAAGCTTTTTTTTTTTTTGGAATGATTGCTAGTCTGCATACACCATACATCAATGATGGTGGGCTTTTGCCTGATATAGTGGTCATGTATGAGCTCCATTAGAGCTGTCATTGATCCTATATTAATGAAGCTTTAAATTTATGTATGTATGTATGTATATATGCATGTACATATTATATATATCAGTAGATGTACAAGTTATGTCCTTTAATTTATTGGGTTGCATTTGCCTGGGAATGGTGTTGGCCTTGATTAAATGAGCATGAAACTTTATAAAATTGCATGTGCAATATAAATATTAGCTCCTAGGCTTTGATCTTCTGAGAATTGAAATTAAGTAACAAGAAGCTAATGCAAGATCTATCCACATCATGAGTGTTTCCCCAACTTCGTGACTTTCTTTTGCTTCTCTTTTAAGCAGGTAGTTCCGAAGGCCTTCAGTAACCTTTAAATGAAGAAAATCTTATTTATTGTATGCTGGAGCCGAAGGAAACATTCATTTTAAATTTTAAACAAAACAAGAATTACGACAAATAGTGATTTCCATGATTTTGGACATGCCATGTATCGATGTAATTCCCGAATCCCAATGTCTGCAAAACCTCAAGGTCCAAGTCACATGTCTATTTTCTACCAAAGTCATATCAATTTTACAGACTAGGAACTCTGAACTTCACTGCCACTGAGCTCAACAAAGCTCAACCAAGTATTGTATCTAAAAAGTAACCTACTTGTTGTTTTGCTAAAAGAAACTATAGTTGTTTTTTCTGAGGATATTTTAATGGCAGGTAGGTGGAAATGAAAAAGAAAGACTGACGAATGGTGATACAGAATTACTGAGAAAAGAAGGAAATAAAGACGAGGAGGAGTCTGCATCTGATGGGGACTTCATAAAGGTAGAGAAGGAAATATTAGTAGATGCAAAAGAAAGCTCCCACCTGCTCAATCCAATAGTGGAAGTGGAGGAAACCTTACTCACTGTCAATCATGAATCTGGCAATTCAGAAGCAAATGCCAATTTTACTAAAATGAAAGAGAAGATCGAAGATTTGGAGCTTCAACTTGAAACTGTCCTTGGAAAACTAAATAGTTCAGAAGCTGAAAAAGCCTTCCTAAAATCTGAGTTTGATCTTGCAAATGACAAGTTAGAAAAAAAGAGCAAGCGTTGTGAGGAACTGGAACTTGGAGAGAAATTGATGAAAAATCAGGCTTTAGAGGATGAACAGAGGTACAATTTACAGCTTGAATCCCTTAAGGAAGCACTAAAAGCTACAGATATGAAGCATAAGGAGCTTATAGATGTCAGGGAATCTTTCACAGGGTTGTCCGCAGATCTGGAGATCTCAAGGGAAAGGATAAAAGCACTTGAAGAAGAGTTACTATCCTCAGCTGGTGAGCTGCATAAACTCGAAGAACTGAGTAAACATAATAGTACCCAAGCAGAGTTAGAATCAAGGAAAGTATTGGATCTAGAGAAGATGTTGGAACTGGCACATGTGACTGCAAAGGAGATGGAACATCAAATGAGTAATTTACAAAAGGAGTTGAAGGAACTCTACGAGAAATTTGCAGGAAAAGAACATATTGAAGAAGCACTTCAAAGTACTTCATTAGAGCTTTCAAAATTTCAGGAGAAGTTAGAAATCTCAAAATCAGACATAGGTAAACTGGAGCAGAACCTTGCTTCTAAAGATTCTTTCATACATAAACTGACTGAAGAATTAAATCTGCAAAAAGTTTCTGAAGAGCAGTTAAGGGCAGATGTAACTGCACTAGAAAATGCGCTTTCTGCTTCAAGAGAAGATCTCCAAACAAAGCTTGTTAATTTGGAGGAACTGGAACTGAATCTTCAGGAGCAGGTAAAAGAAAGGGAAATGGTTGAAGCTCGCTTCAAGGACCAAGAAGTGCAGATATCAAGTTTAAGAAATGATTTGTTGAACTTGACAGTAGAAAAGGAAACTATAGAGAGCACTGTGACAGATCTTAAAACAAAGTTGTTAGAGATCGAGGAACTTAATAGCCAATTGGAGGCCAAGCTAAATATGGCTGATCAGAATTTCAAGAAAACAGACTCACTTCTATCACAAGCATCGTCGCATAAGAAGGAGCATGAGCAAAAGATGGAATTGCTTGAACAGCTCCATCATGAATCCAGAATGGCCACAGAGGCTGCTACTAAAAGAAACCTTGAGCTAGAAGGTTTGCTCCAGGCAGCAAATGCAGATGAAGAGGTTATCAGATCACAGCTGAAGGAGACTGAAATGAGATTGGCATTCGCTGAGAAGAGCAATATGGAGCTTGAGCAACATTTGAATTCTGCAGAGACAAAATACCTTGATGCACATAATGAGAAGAACGAACTTAATGAGAAAATATCACAGCTCACTGCTTTGTTGAAAGAAGTAGAGGAAGAAAATGCATTGTCAAGAAGCCGTTTTGAGGGTTATGAAGATAAGATTGGCCAATTGGAATCAAATTTGAGCAAGTCATTTTCAAGGAACTCAGAACTTGAACTGCAGATTAATGATCTTGTCAAAAAGTGTGGGGAACATGAGGAACATGCTATTGCAAAGCATGACCGCAATCTTGAGCTGGAAGATTTGTTTCATTCATCTCACTCCAGAGCTGAAGATTCTGAAAGGAGAGTGGGAGAATTGGAACTGTCATTGGAAGCTGCTAATCATCGGACACAGGAACTTGAGCAACTACTCAGCATCACAGAGGCAAAACATAGAGATGTTGAGGCTGAATCCAAGCAATACAGCAGTAAGGTTGCGGAGCTTGTTACAGAACTTGTAGCATATCAGACACGAACAGAAAGTCTTGAAGCTGTGCTGCAAGCTGCAAATGAGAAGGAGAGGGAGTTGACAGATAACCTAAATATAGTTACGGAAGAAAGAAAAATAATTGAAGACCTGTCTAGTAGTCATGAGAAAAAACTCTATGAATCTGAGAATCAAATTCGGATGTTGCAAAATGAGCTGAAACATTTAAGAGAGAAAGTGGAAAGTGTTCAGGAAGAACTTGAGGCTTCAAATATTCGAGAAAAAGAGCTACTTGAGAAGTTTAGATATGCTGGAGAACAGTTGGAACATCATGGAAAGACTATAGAGGAAGTTACTGCAAGAAACCTAGAGTTGAATTCATTAAATGAATCTTTAGCCAAGGATTCAGAGTTAAAGCTCCAACAAGCAGCAGCGAGCTTTAAGCAAAAGGAGTCTGAAGCTGAAGAATTGCATGAAAAGTTAAAATATCTTGAAGAACAATTGGCATTTTATAAAGAACAGGCAGTTGAAGCTACTGAAAATGTTGCCTCACTTAAGGCAGAGTTAGAGGCAAATGCAATGAAACTGGTTTCTCTTGGGAACAATATTGAAGAGCTTAAGCAAAATGTTATGGAAGCTAATCTAAGAGGCGAACAGACAGTTTCTGAAAACGAGTTGCTGGCTATGACAAACTCAAAGCTCAAGGACGAACTGGAAGCTCGTCAGCAAAAAGTCAATGAGCTAAATGAGTTGTTGAAATCCATACATGCCGAGAAGGAGGCTACTGTTGGGCAACTCGCCTCTCATGCAAGCACCATAGCACAATTAACTGATGAACATTCAAGAGGCATGGAACTTCAATTTGCGACTCAATCTCGTCTTAAAGAAAATGAAGACCAGCTGCATGAAGCTATTGAGAAATACAAGCAGAAAGATTTGGAAGCCAGGGACCTGAATGAGAAGCTGCTTGCACTTGAAACTCAGTTGAGAACTTATGAAGAACAAGCTAGTGAGTCAGCGGTTGTTGCAGCAAATCAGAAGGATGAATTGGAAGAGGCTCTTGTTAAGTTACAGCATCTGGAAGGACTTACGGAGCAGTTGAAAGGCATGATTGATGAATTCGAAACCGAGAATAAAGGTTTAGCCAGTCAAAACATGAGTCTCTCTGAGGAGCTTGCAACATATGATGGTAAACTGAATGAGTTACAAGTAGCATTCAATACAGTTGTTACAGAGAAAGAGGATATATCCATACAGCTACATGCTTCTAAGAAAGAATTGGAGGATCTCCAACAACTTCATCACTCTGATAAAGAGGAACTCCAATCACAGGTTGGTAAATACATACAGTCATATCCATGTAAAATCAGATACCTAAATTTCTATGACAACTAATTTGTAATTTAGGAGCATGATTTCTTGTATTTCACATTTGTGAGCAATGCATCTTGGGAAATGGATTTGTCATCTAAGAAGTATCATTGCAGATAACCACTGTCACAAAAGAGTACAGCATGCTCAGTGAAATGCACCAAAAGGAAAGGAAAGAACTTGAGGTGACTAAAATCCAATTCAAAGAAAAGCTAAGTGAACAGGAAGCAAGCGAAAATTCTCTCAGCTCTCTTGTGGAAAATCTTAAAGCAGAGCTGGCTGAGAAATCTCTTATGCAAGAACGGATTCAAGAGCTTGAACAAAAGCTGTTAGCAGCTGAGAAAGCTTATAGCCAAGAGGTATGTTCCTAAACTTTTTTACCCTTCAAAAGACGCTGGTTTGCATCAATAGAAAATTTGTTTACTGATACTTGAAGCTTGCATGATTTGCTGATTCTCACAGATTGAGAGCATGACATCAGCAGCTGCTGAGAAGGATGCTGTACTATCTGCTAAAGTAGAGGAGCATACAAGCATACTCCAAGAAAAAGGTGCTTTAGATCAGCAATTAAGGGAAATTCTTAAGGAACTAGATTTGGCACAAAGAACCATAATAGAACAGGTAAACCTGCACTTGTAATATCAGCTTCATTGACTGTTTATATTAATCATCTTGCAGTCATTACATGTATTATTTAATTTGGCAAAATCTGCTGACTTCTGGAAGTTTAATTTTGTAGCATAGTTCTAGTGATACAATATGTTTATATTATGGATCTCACTGAACTCTGGCTGCTGTTTTGTATCTATTTAGTTAAGAATGCTGCGCTGTAGCAATTTGAGTCATCAACTATTCTATTCCAAAGTGCAAGTAATTTCACTTGATGAAAAGCATAAGATTTGAATGAATAGTATCGAAGTATTAAAACTTTTTGACTTTTTAAGTGCCTAACTTGAAGAGGGACACAATGGTTTGGCTCACCTAAGGTGATTTCGTCTAGATTGGTGATGGTATAGATGATCAGGTGTTGGATGAAAAGTATTATAAGAAAACATATGAGTAAGATCCACGAGAACCAAAAATAAGGGGAGAGAAGCAAAAGCTTTTATGATACATGCTAATAGGATCACACAGTGAATAAAACATTAAAACTAATGGACATTGTTTTGATCCAATATATTCTGATAGCGTATTGTTAAACAACAATAAATTGTTATAGTAGTAATACAAAAAAGTTACCTGTCTGTATGTTGAAGCTGAAGTATGTTTCTTAGTTTGAAGATTGTCTTGTAACTAGAAGAAAAACTCGAAGATAGAGATTTCCCATATGTGGAAAACTAAATGCCCAACAAATCAAATTCAAGATAGTGATCACCACAATTCACAGGCTTGAAAGAGAAAGTGAATCAAATAGGAAGGGAGGCTGGCAAGTAGAATCAAATTGGTCCTGACATTGAAATTCCTGTCTTAAGACCATATGAAATGGCAATCTAGATCAATTTTTATTAAGATCAGGCTTGTTTTAGGTAGTCCTGATCTTCGAATTGGTAGAAATCAATTGGGATAATGCTTGTCTGCACAGGCAACTTAGCTGCTGACAGTAACATGCAAAACATAAGGGTGCATGTTGTCAGAGACAGATATGGAGACTAAATTCTAACCTTTCTTGTAGGTCATATTATATTTAGTCCATCTATATTAAGAATACATGGTTTTTTTGTTCATAACTTTTAGCATTATCAAAAGCTAAATTGAAAAGATTATTCCGTTATAGGGTGCTTAATTGCCTTGTAGCCCACATGTATTTGGTGCCAATTTGCCTTGTGGGCAATATATAGTCTTTTGTTGTGTATGAATATATACATGCACCTTAATTATTATGGCTTGCATGCTAACCTTTCAAGGAATACACAGAGGAAAAAGGGGTATGCCATCATTTCCAACTACTTGGCAGATGTACCTGAAACATAAGATACATATGCAAACGTATATCTCCTTTCGGAGAACATGCATGCAGAAATGTGGAATTTGGATGCATATATGTAAATGTGAAGTTTAATTTGTGTGTATTGCAGGATATTGCTAACGTGCTTTTATAGTTGCAGGAGAATGTACAAGCGAAACACAACATTTTGGGTACATGTAAATATGGTGTTATGTGTGTGTTTATATTGTGAACATTAAACAAGCCAAGGTTTTCTTGTTGTATTATTGGAACATAATGATGCCAAGATATATGCTACATTAGTTTGTTTTGTGTTATCAAGTTTCTTTCGATATATATCAGTCATCAGTTTCATATAGACTTTTGAATGTCATTAGTGATCTCTGGTGTCTAAGTGATTACATTTTACAGAAAGAATTGGACACCAAAAAGGAGTTGGAAAGGCAAGCTTCCCTGACGCAGTCACTTGATGCATTAGAGTCCAAGGATCAGCATGCCACGCTTCTTGAAAAGCAACTTGAGGAGCTTAAGCAGAGGCTACTAGAAGCTGAAAACCAGTATAAGGAGAAGGTTGGCACATATATGTTGGTTCATATACCTTCAGATTTGTATACAAATTTGTTTGAGAAAAATGAATCAACCTAGATACTCATATAGAACCTATAAATGTCCATAAAGTGTCATCCACATTCTGCTAGGAACTTTATGAGGCAATCAATCTTTCAAAATCTGCAACAAACAGTGCACATATCTTGAAGATTGCATTTTGTATATGACTTCTTCGGAACTCGCAGGTTATTGAAGAAAGCAAAAAGCTTACACTTCTTGAGGTGGAACTTAATGAATTAAGACTTAAACAGACACAAACTGCTGAAATGGAAAAGAAGATTGCAGAGCTTGAGAACACATTGCAGTTGGCTCGCACAAGTGCACAAGAGGTAAGATCAACTAAATCCTTTTGGTAGGTCAAGTTTCTTTCTCTTTATGGCATTATTTTGGAAACACTTCTGTCCCTGCAGGTGAAGAATGAAACCTCACAGTCAGAGGTGCAGGATGCGACTGAGGTGAAATCAAGAGACCTTGGATTGGACACCTCAACACTGTCAAGGAGAAAGAGCAAGAAACGAAGTGACAAGGTGCACCGGGATACAGAGGCTTCCACTGTAAATCCAAACACCTCTGTTGTCCAAGAGCATTCAGGAGCCACGGCCTTCAAGTTCGTCCTGGGAGTGGGCTTGGTATCAATGATCATTGGTATTATTCTTGGGAAGCGATATTAGAATGGGCTAAGGACTTCCAGTGTCTTCATCGTGGAACCACCCCATTTCTTTTCTCAAATGCTCAAGTTGGTAAGGGAATGTGATTTACAAAATCATTTCCGGGGCTTTGATTTTCTTGTTGCAAGTTTTATCTTTACCTTGTAAGACTCAAGCTTTAAGGAGTCTATATTTTCATCTTGGGTTAGGAATTTGTTTTGTTTTACTTCAACCCTTCAGCATGCAACTTGCTTGCTGTATATGAGCTTGTAGATGTTTATCTGTAACTAAGAAATAATGCCTTGTGCTATTTGTTAATATTCTGAAAAGAGACAGGTTTTTGCTTATCTGATCAGCCACTTTTTGAGGTTGCTACTATTGTTCAGTAGAGCTTACTGACAGCTCACTTCTTTACTCTCCATACATTTTGAAGCTTGCTAATACTTATTTCGTCATTGCCACAATTTGACAGAATTTATTATCTGCTTTGGAACAATTTGGATTCAATTTTTCCCTCAAAGGAAGGAAAAAAAGGGATCCACAAGGAAGCAAGTAACCATAGTGTTGCATCATGTATTATAAGAAGTAGGTCTTAATCCCCAAATTCTGGGTTCTTGAGTTTAATTCCATGGTTGGAGATGTGTTGGTTCTCTAGATCTTAAGTAACTTATAGTGTTACATCTTAATCACAACCCACAAATGTAGACACTTTGTGTTGAATCAAAGTTTATGTACTGGAGCAAATCTTGCTTTAGAATTGGAGATCAAGTCCACAGTATCAAACATCCCTTGTTCACCTGCAACTCATCATAGCAATGTTTCAAACTACAACCCAAGCTGTGGATTCCAATTTTCTTCCCAGGCAGAAAAAAGAGAGGATCCACAAGGAAGAAGTTGGTGATAGATGTTTGATGCTCTGTTTTCATATAGAAAGATCAGTTGCCATGCCTCAAAAAGTGTTTCATCCAAGGAGTAGGAACTGATTCAATGGGTAGAGATGTGATGGTTCTCTAGATTTGGGATTACATCATTTTCATAACTAGAACACAATCACAAACCACAAATGCAGACCTTTTTGTTGAATCAAACTTGTGTGTTTTAGCAAATCTAGTTTTAGAACTGCAACTCATCATAGCAACAATGTTTCAAAGTACAACCCAAGCTTCATTCAGATCACAAGAACACCAGACAACCCAAATATAATTCACATCATAAGAGCACCATGTACTGAAAGGTATACTGAAATCACAGACTGGAGTGTCAGTTCTGAGTGTCCATTTTAGGCTTAATAGAGACACCTGCAAAGATCATACCACCCTTCCACCAATGGCTCTCAGTTTCAGATATGCCAAACTCAACCTCTCCTTTCATGTCTTGGGGTAACTTGAACTCCCCACCATGGATCTCAAGCCACTCACAGCTTCTTTTCCTGTATGACTCCATGATCTCAATTCTCTTCTCCCTGTGCCCATCTGGGGTGACCAGCTCAAACAAGACAGGGGCTTTGCTCCACCCAAAAGCATCAATATTGAACTTGATGTGGTACACGATCTCAAAGACCTTGGAATTAGAGAGTGCATCCTTATGCTTTGCCAGGTTCAGAGTCCCTTTCACTTCAAGCCAATTCACTTGAATGAGCTCTGCAACACTGTCACTGCTACACTAGTTAGTGACTTCAAAGTTTCCTCATAGCATTTCACATCAGAAAATTACATTGTGGAGTTGATGATGAAACACCTAAATCTATGATTTGAAATGTGTACTTATCATGACTCTCGATGCGATAATCGATCAATTAACTTGTTAAGTTGTCCAGATTGCCAATAATAAGACTATCAAGCTCAAATTCTTAATGGTAGTATACTCATCAAACTCGTAAACTAATTCAAATCTTTATCCGCTTCCAAAGCGGTGTTACAAGCATATTTGCATCTTACCTACTCATGCTAATATGAAACTGCTACTGTAATTGTTATTTGTAGGTATTTTCAGCTGCAAGCAACCAAACACCACCTGAACCTTTTAAGATCAAGAGTGAATTATTTCTTATGTTGGGAATAATTGTGTGTGTGAATCTTGACTATACCATAGGTTATCTTAATGTATCAGGTGGAACAAATTGAATCTTAGCAATACCATAGGTTATCTTTGGAAAAATCCTTGGGTTGCTCATCCTTGGGAAGCTCATTCCACCTCCAGAATCTTCCATCACGGCCCCAAGTTATGTTCATGGCTTTTGCTGGGATGTGAATTATGTGCTCAGCTGCATTAACCCTTCCTTGCTGTTCCACAAAGGAAAAGAACTCATCATGAGAATATTTATAGTTTCTAACTGAGCTGTTTGATCTCATGAACATTAATTATTCCTGCATGGCAACAATTATAGAGGTGTTGGAAAGACAAGTGTTCTTCATGACGCAAGCAGCTACTCGAGCTTCATGACGCAAGAACAACAATTAGATCAACAATCTCAAAATGTTATCGGTGTATATTGAGATGGAGTATTGCAGTATGAATGAACTCGAATCTCCACACTGTGTTCTTCCTCACTTACAGAATGATCAGCAAGCCAGTGAGACGTGTGGCACTCCACAGCATGTCCCTGAAGACTCATCTCGGCCGCGGCTGCCTTCCTCCTCTGCCTTCTTCACTTGCACTGCTTCCTTTATACGACAAGAAAGAGAATATTTTCCTTTGTCGAAGACAGTGTACACAGTTCATTCCTTCCTTCACAAGTCATTCTCGAACCAAGACAGGGAGGGCGAGGTGGCTTTCACCTTTGGTGCCATGGAAGCTCTCCTACTGATAGATAGTACAATATAATTAAAATAATAATGTATGCTAAATTCGATGCTATTTACATATATTTATAGATCATTTTATTTCTTAATATTTAATAATTTGGATGTTTAAGAAAGAAATGAAAAAAAGATTCCCCAATCCGACATGCACGGCACAGATATCAATAGCTGAAATCAAAGCATCAAATATTATCATCTTGTCTGAAAAGATGTGTGAAGATATTTTATCTCTTTCTGCGGTATCAACAAAAGCAAAAGAAAAAGAAAAAAAGAATATATTTACCTATTCACAAAAGTATGCCACCCACTGATTCATAACAAGTGGTAAAGAAATTTGCAGGCAAAGGGATAGCTCAGAATCTTCGTCGAGTCATGTCCAAGTAACACCACCACCTACTGAACTTTTTCTTTGAAATGGGACCATGGTTTTTCTTTGTCTTCAGGAAATCTGCGGTCGGCTTTCCTGTTGATTTGCCTATTAGAAATGTCTATAATATGTAAAATGAGATGTATGCATCTTTGTTCGATATGTTTATATCGTATATTATCGTTAAACGAGTCCTCTTCACGTCTCTCACCTACTTGGCGTAAGACCTATTGATCGTTATTGATGGAGTTATACTTCATCATAAAACATTGACATTTAAATCTGAATGTAGAAAGGGTGTAGAAAAAACATCTTGAATATTCACTTCCATCAATATCGATATCTTTGAATTATATAAATATTGACATTTAAATTTATGATCATTACCGATTAGGTTACGAACAACATATATATATATATATATATATATATATATATATATATATATATATATATATATATATATATATATATATATATATATATATATATATATATGGTTAAATTCTCCCACTTAGCTCATAAACCAAAGAGATGGAAAACAAACATTCAAAATTATAATACCAAAATAAAATTTTGTTTTTAAAATAATTTTACTGGGATTCTAAGTTTTGAAAAATAATTTATACATGCATGATTTTTGAAAACATGCTAATAGATTTAACAAATACCATAATATTAACATACTACGAATGCAAAGCATAGCAATTGTATATCATTTGTCTCGTACTTTCTTCTATGTATAACATTGTCTCGGTCCTTCTCAATATAATTTACAATGATTTTTATAATTTTACTTGTCTGTTATCACGTACAAAGATAATACACACATACATAAATAATAAATAAGATAGTAAAAATAGTAATTATTATTTACGTAAGTAATAATATTAATTATAATAACCACTTAGACATGTATTATCATATATTTTATAAGTTATTCATAAAACCCATTCTAAGAATATATTCTTTATACACTTTAAACTATAAAGCCTTAGTCAATATATCAACAATCATTAAGAAGATGATGCTCAGGTTTAGACATTTCTTGATTTTTTCTTTAACAAACAAGTACTTTATTTTAATGTGTTTAGAATGACTTAGGTACTTATCATTCTTAAAGAAGAAAATTATTATGGTGTTATCACAAAATATCTTTAGTTGTTTGCTAATTAAGTCGACCACACCAAGTCTTGAGATAAAATTCCACGGTCATAAAACTTCATTAGTAACCTTAAATCACACCACGAACTCTGATTCCATTATGGACGATACAATAATAGATTGATCAGCAATCTTCTAGAAAATTATCTCCCTAGCTAACAAAAATATATAGCCTTACATAGACTTCCTATGATCAAAGCAACTCGCAAAATTAGTATTCTAATATTCTATCACTTCTTATTGATCGGACCCTCAATAAGTGAACATATGATCTCGTCCCTTGCACATATCTCATAACTTTATTTATAACTTTTTAATGCTCCATTCTTAAGTTACTCAAGTATCTTCCCAACATTCTAACTACAAAAATAATATATGGTCTAGTATAGATTCAAACACATAATAGACTTTTAATTGCATATACATATGAAAGATTTTTCATTTGACTCCTTTTTCACATCATTTTCAAGACATTGGCTTAGACTAAAATTTTTGTCTTTAGTCATAAGTGTAGCATTTGATGATCAATGGTGCATATTGAATCTCTCTAAGATTCAATTAATATACAATTTTCAAGATAGTTGTAATAATTCTTGAGATTGATCTCTGATAATATCTATACTAATAATATAAACTGTCTAAATTATATCAACCATCTAAAAATTCTTGATATTAAAGTTCTTGATTTCATATAACAAATTAGGATCACTACTGGCAAGCAGGATATCATGTTTATACAAGACTAAAATAATAAACTTACTCTTACTAACTTTCATATATATAAATTGATCAATAGTATTTTTATTAAATCCGAAGAAAGAAATGATATCATGAAACTTTATACACTATTGAAAGCTTGTTTAAGACTATAAATAGATTTCTCAGCAAACCAAATAATCTTTTTTCTTTTTTACGAACCCTTCTATATAGATTTCTTCATCTAAATTCTCATTTAGAAAAGTTATTTTTATATCAGTTTGATATAACTTAAGATCATAATGAGCTACTAAAGTCATGATAGTTTTTAATAGATTTTTTAAAAATTAAAAATATCTCATTATAATCAATATATTCTTTTTTAAATAAAATTTTTGACTACAAGTGTAGCTTTATATTGTTTGATATTATCCTTCAAGTCAAAATAAGTCTTAAAAACTCATTTACAATTGATTCTTTTATAATTATTGTATAATTCGATAAGTTCTCATACATCATTCTTGTCCAATAATTTTATCTCTTCTTTTATGGCATCATATCATATTTTTAGAACTACTACTTCCATAGCCTATGTAAACATTAAAGAATCATTCTTTTTTCTTATTTTATAATCTGATTATTATAGATATACCATATAATCATAAAATTTGATTTGTCTCATTTCTCTTTTAGATCTTCTCAAAGGTGTCGATTGTGGTTTGTTCTATAAGTTTATCAGTAATGATATTTTTATCATATGGAAGTTCATCAATATCATCGTGTTATTCATTTTTCTTAATTTATTCAGTAATTTAAGAAATAATAATTTCTTAAATAAAAATAATAAAAGAGTATCAACTTATATCTCCTCAATATCAAATCTTAAAGATTTTTCACTTATATTAGTTTTATCATATTATAGGAATATTATATTATTAGACTCAACTATTTTGGTATTGCGGTTAGAGAAATAAAATCGGCATCCCTTGGATTTTTTTGAATAATTAATAAAATATCCAAAAATAATTCTTAGATCTAACTTATTTTCATATAGGTTAAATATGTTGGACAATCTTAAATATTTTAATATCTTAAATTAGATTTTCTACTAATTTATAACTCAAATGGAATTAATAGAACTAACTTACTAGGAAATATATTCAAAATATATATGTTAGTTTTCAGTGCTTCACTCCATATTGATTCAAGTACATAAGAAAATTTATGATGCTCTTAACTGTATCTATTAGGATATAATTGTGTCTTTTACTAATACAATTTTATTGTGGCACTCTCGATAATGAATATTGAGCATAAGAATTTAGCAAATTGGTTAGGATTTTGACCTAATTTATCATATTTACTATATAAATCATCACCCATATCTGATTTCATGATGTTGATCATTCACATCTTATAAGCCTACATCCTATGTCATTTTGATTGCTATTAGTTGGATGAAACTTAGGGATATAAATCATAAATAATATTTATTTATTTTTTCTTTAATAATATTCTTTAAAATTTATTCAATAAATAATATAATAATAATCGAGTATAAATTTTAATAAGCACATTCAAGTAATAATAAGCACATTCAAGAATAAACATTATGCTTTCATGTGAAAATAAATAATATTTCACAAACATCATGCTTTCAACACCCTTAGCAGCGACTGAACATCACACCCCAGTTATATTTTTTCTGTGTTGTTGCACACAACAATCATTGACAATAACAGTGACACAACCAAAGCAATTGCTACCTATGGTAGGGCCAATAATCACAATAAATCGTTACTCTCTGTTAAGCTATTGTAAGTAGTAGCAATGATTTCACTGCACTGTCACGAACTTAACTGTAATTGTCTAAGTCGTGAGGCACCATTGCGGCAAAGTCATGGATTTAGCTTGAATTACTAAAGTTGTGAAGCACCCTTGTGCCAACTCCTCGAACTTAGTTGGGATTGCCTAAGTCATAAGGCGCCCTTGCAATATATACGTCCGCAAAGGATCAACATAGTTGTAATATTATATAAGTCCCGAAAGACATGCGAAATAGAAAATTGATTAACTTAATAATAAACGATGGACAAGTCGCGAAGAGGGAAGGTTTACAAGCAATTCAATGAGCATCTTGAGTGCAAGAGAGAAAAGAAAGGAAGGAGAAAACAATGACTTTAGAAGGTAGAATGAACAGTTACAAGTTCGCAAACAATTGCTCACTGGGTGCCGAGTGCGAAGGTAAGTTTCCGTCAAGTTAATATACATACTTATGAACATTGTTCAACACTCGACGTTACCCCGCAGTCCCATCCCCTTGGTGCCACCCGGGGGGTTCTAGGGTGTTGAGATTGTTGTCATTTTGCATGAGCCTGCGGTCTACAGAAAATAGGTTATGACATGTAAAAATAGAACTATTTTGGAACAGTTTAGCCTGGCACGACGGACGATTATACTACAACGTTGCCAATTATCGTTGTTTATATTTTTCAAGCAAAAACACACAAAACCAAAACAAAACATACTGTCATGTATATATACAAGCATACAAAAACGAAGAATAATTTGTTGAATGAAGTTATTACGGATGTGCGATCACTGTTTGTACAGTAGCACCATCACACCTTAGCAGGTCCAACGAATATGGTAGGTCATCGACCAATCAACACACTTTCGATGACAACAAATCGTCGTCCTTAACATGACAGCAACCATTCCAATCCTATGTTGGATCGCCAATTGTAGCAATACCACGGCCTAAAGCAACCGATGCCCTACCCATAATCGGCCACCGCCCTTTACTAGGTTGCCATCGGTAGTAGCAGCAACTCTGCATTATCGCGCTCCAACAGGTCTCGCAACCACAGTAGGTCGTCAACCAATAAACTCACTTCCAACGACAGTAAGCAGTCGTCCTTGGCAGTGCAACAACATCCTTTCCGATCCTACGTTTGTCCATCATGGACGGTAAGCAGCACCCTTCCGTCGTCGTTCCACCCATGCATGCGAGGAAACTTGCATTGCCCACAAGTAGGTGAGGGCAATGATACATCGAACATAATCTACTTATCAGCCAACACCTCTACTCGCTGGCGTAATGCTCGGTGAGCTCATCAATGCATCCGCTCGAGCTGTAGCAATTCGGCGTTACCGCCTCCACAGCCATCAGCCATCGTTCCTCTTTGCTCGCGGGTGTGACTCACTGCTTTCCGTTGCTCCTATAAATGGAGCTTCGGGGAACAAGCAAGACATGAAAGAGATCTCCGACATCGCATCTTCTTTGACATGACATAGCATCGTTGGCCGACCACTATGCTTATTATAGCAACCATAGAGAAGAGAGGAAGTAAAGTTGACTATAGTCAACACTAGTCAACCTTTGGTCAACAATGCTAATTTTATAATTTTTGTTACTTTTTGTTTTTGTTGTATTTGAATAAATTTGTTTTGGGTTTTCTCCAATAGAGATTATCATCGTGTAGCGATTCCCTATATATTTATAGAGTTCAAATTATTATTATTATTATTATTATTATTATTATTTTAGAGGTAGGAATTATGTTAGTGTAGTAATCCGAACTATGTTAAATCGCTTATTTTGGTTTTGTACCTGTTTTTTCTGAATTTTTATTCAACTCGATTATATCTCATGCCTCCCTCGATCAATATCACATTAAATGCTTCTTACAAGAATTACCAGCAGTGTTAGCAAATCAAAATTTGTAGCAATGGAATAAGAGTGTTACTGCAAGATCTGAATTAAAAGCTCCTTGTGCTTGTTTCCATGATCACATAGCATGTTGCTACTTGTTACTATCACCTTAGATTTTGATTTGCTAATGATAATTAAGGAATAGCTCTATAAAATAATTTTAAATATTGTAGATATATGTACATATATAAATTGAATTATATATATAAATATATATGTATATATACATATATATATATACATACATACATACATACATATATATATGTATATACACACACATATATATATATATATATATATATATATATATATATATATATATATTTCCAAAAAAAAAAAAATAAAGATTCATGTAAGTGGCATTGATCAGACGGCCAAGAACTGCCCACGTTTCCATTCTCAAGTCCACCCTATTCAATTTGACAGTAAAACGTCAACATTTATCTTGCGGAAGAAATCGATCGCGAGAGTGTGAGGACGGTTGGGAGAGAGAGAGAGAGAGGGGGGGCGATCAGATGGAGCTCGAAGTGAGGACGGTTGGGGGGATGGAGAGCTGCTTCGTTTCTCTCCCCCTTTTTTTCATCCAAACCCTCGAGAAGACGAGGGGAGGGTTCCTGCCCCCGGTCCTCGCCCTGGAGCTGCGATCCCGCTCCGGAGGAGATTGCTGGAACCTGGCCTGGTCCGGCTCCTCTTCCAGATCCACCGCGATCGAGGTCATCCCCCATCATTCAGTCTTCTATTCTTCTTTCGATTGCCAAACTAATTGAATTTAGCCTCCAATCGTCGGCACGGCTCGCTTTTCTTGGATATTCTTTTGAATACAAACCAAATATTTTTTGTTTTATAGTTTGTTGTATGAAGAGTAATTTTCTAGGGTACCTTTCCGGGTGATTTGAAGAACAATTCCCCGTTATTTCCACCGTTTTGCGCTGGTTTTCGTGATAGGTTTGTTGAACGTGTTTGTGTGTTTACCTTCAAAAGAGCAACTCATTTGATATTATGTTAAGAATATAAATTCAGGTCATGTTAAGCTTTTAGAGGACATGAGTGCGAAATATTTGAGATGAAAATTTATCCCGACGATGCAATAACAAATAAGTTTCACGTGTTGGGTTTGAGCATGTCAACCACATGTGAAGGAAAGTGTTAAAAATATAAAATCATAGGCCATGTCTTATCCAATAACTCACGCTTTTAGATGGAATGACATTGATTAAAAATTTAAGATGGTACCAGTTTAGAAGACTCTGTGTTCAAATTTTATCTAGGCTCTGCATTGAAAAGAGATATATCCCTGATCAATTCAACCACCAAAAATCTGGCTTGAGCTGGTGTGCCATCCGCTTGTGGCAGGAGTTTAAGAATATAAATCATATCATATTTTGTTTCTTGCTTAAACTTCGTTAGACAAACAAAATGACTTTTGATAAAAAATTAAGATAATCGTACATGGGTTTCTTGAGATTGAGGTTTTTCTAAGCATCTGGGTTAAATATTTCTTTCTCTCATTTTCTTATTGGCATGTTCCTTTAGTCATTTTCTATGAATTTGATTTTTCTAAGCATTATATTCATCCAATCTTGTCACATAAGACAAGTTCAACAGTGCCTTGCTATGATGTCATTCATCATCTCGGCATCTCCATGGTCGTCTCAATGCTACGTCATGTTGCACCTACTGAAGATCTACTGCCGACCCTTTTATGTACTTTGGGATTGATGTCTTTGTTCACATAGGAGTCGTAGCAAGTGGAACCGATGGTGTTGTAGCTTTCAAAACATATGAATCGTGGCTATTGAACTTGGCATCTTATGAGACCATGGCACTGGCATCTCTTATATGAAGAACTTCAACGGAAGTCACTACTCGTGCCTTGAGCAATTGATGATTCTTCGATAGCATGGTGGCCATCTTCACCATGTTGCTCATGCTACGCAGACTCCTATCACCATTGCTTGTATCTTTACGTATATTTCATTCATCTTAGTGTCATAAAGAGGTGCTCAGGTGAAGCCGAGGATTAAGTGATGTTAGTTGATTTGGCTCAATCAACTAACATCACTTAACCCTACCCCAAGTTCGAGTCTTTGCTGTCCTCTCAGTCTCCTCTGTCACCTATCAGCTGTTTGGCATTAAAAATCGGCTGTCCTCTCAGCCACGCTATCAAAGACATCGCAGTATACTTCTTCTTATTTTTGTTTTAATTATTGTCTAATTTTTATTTAAAATTTTTTCTTTATCCTTAAATTAATTTAAAATGTATTTTCTCCAATTTTGCATCCTAATCATTCCTTAGATATGCACACTGCCAACCTGTAATATTCTATTAACGATTATGTTGGGTTGTTTGACTTTGATTGATCACTATAATTGTCAATTATTCTTTTAGTTTGTATTTAATTACAAATCATCATGTGTTAACTAATTGTATCCAAAGTCTGCCAGAGTTTCCTAAACCCAACCTATATCGAGTGGAGAGATCAATGGAACTGTTGTGAACCTGTAAAAAAAAAAGGAGACACAAAACAATAAAATTATTATTCATCCAATTAAGAGATTGTGCATTCACTGTAATGAAAATTCAATTACTAACTTAAGAATATATGAGATTTACTAAATCTTAACAAAAGATATTTATAAATTTCTTTTATATTTACGTATCTTCAAATAATATGATTTTATAAGGATCTTACTTATCAACTTATGCGCCAAGTTTGTGACCTGCATCATGATCCTAGGTAGAAAAATGAGTTTGACAACCTTGCGCTCAAGCTTCAACTTGACATGGTTTCAGTAATGCACACAATTTCCATGGTGAAGCTTAGTCATTCTTCTCTCTCTTGAAGCTTACTTGTTAGTTTCTGCTTTTTCTAATGCTTGCATATGATTTACAAGATTAAGCTTTCCAGGTTGATCAGCAACTGGCAGAATGTATTTCTCTACCAGATCATTCTAAAGTACAGGTTAAGGCCATTGCTAATTTACCGAAAGCTGATTTTGTCAATATAGAGCCAAGCGGTGAGGACGACTGGGAGATTTTGGAGCTTAATTCAGAAGTTGCTGAAGAGGCTATCTTGAAACAGGTATATTTAATTTTGTTACATGGTGGCTACAAGCGTATCTCAAAATATGCCAACTACTTTTTTGTTCATAGTAATGACATAGTGCATTTATCTTCACCTATTTCAATTTAGATCAGTTTTGTTGCTTCAATAAATTAGCTTCACATCCTTAGGATCTTTCTCTGTTGAGATTGGATATTTCAGGTCCTTCTGAAATACATGTTTTTGTCATTACTATAACAGTAAAATTTATATTTCACTCTCTTTCGAATGAGTCAAATCTTTTTTTTCTTCCTAATGTTGATTCAATCTTGCGGAAGATTAATGATTCATCTTTAGGCTTAAGTTCCTCAACTGCTAGCTTTCTATTTTCTTCCCTCCCAGAAGCTGAGTTCCATAGGTTTCATTGTTTTGCCCTCATTTACAAATAACTTGGCTTCAGGTTAATCAAATAAAGTGCTTTGCTACTTTTTGAGGGCAATCATAGTTTCAAGCTATATGGCCTCAGCGCTTCGTCTGCAGACCAAAAAGTTCTGCTGCTCATGCTTCCATCGCTGCTTTGTTTTGCAATGAGAAGTATACTTCTTTATATGTTCTTTTGTTAATCAATGATCCATGGTTTGCCTCACCAGTCCGTACTGGTGCACTGACCAGCTGTTGGTACAGTACGTACCGAACCATACTGATGTACTGACATACGGTATGGTGGGGCATACCACTAATTTTCCGATATGTACTACCCGTACCAGTCTCCTATCAAACCGATATATACTGCCCATACCGAGTGGTACATTGTAGTATGTCAGACCAAGGTATGCAATACCGTACCGGTGTTTCAAGGTTGGCTCGGTACGGTACAGTACCGGTGTACCGAGCGGTACACCAGGGCGTACCGAATAATTTTATATATTTTTTTCATTATTGTATCACTGTAGCACCACTACAGTATAGTACTGTAGCACTACAACACTGCTACAGTGTAATACTGTAGCAATGTAGCGGTACCAAACGGTCGTGTACTGGTATGCCGTCGGACCGGTACGTACTGCTCGTACCGGACGGTACCATTCAGTACTGCATACCATGTGTCAGACCTTGCAATGATCATGCATTTGGTGAAGGTGAAGCAATTAGCACCTCGTAATGCTGAGTACTCTTTGGTGTTTGGTCATTACAACCTGTTTGGTTTCCAAGCATTCTCTGAAGGCTGCAACTTCTACATAGACAACACTAAACCATAGGTCAAAAATCATTATATTATGCAAAATCTGAAGATCAGTTTGTTGCTGGATAATGGAGAAACCGAAACCAGGAGCTTTCTTAGGGAAGAAGAAAACTAAGTCATGACTTTGTTTTGTTAGTTATCAACTATGCATTAGGTGAAGCACTTTGCATCTTGTACTGTTATGCATTATTTGATGCTTAGTTATCACAACGACCAGTATGAGGCTTGAGCAGTCACACAAGGTTGTAACTCCTACATAGACAACATAATTGAAAAATTGGAAAGAAAAAAAAAAAGTTGTATTATGTAACATCTGAAGATCAGCGTGTTGCTGGATAATGGAGAAGCTGAAACTAAGTGTTTTTTAGAGAAGAGAACCCAATCATGACTTCTATTGCCCAGAGGGAGAATTATTCCTTGAAAAGTGATGATCATGATCTGCTTTTAGGATACATTAGAATGGCATTGATCAAGTGAGTTGAACTTTAAAAGCATTTTATGGCATCCAGATTACTTGGCAAATAGGTTTCATGGTAGATGATTCTAAGTATCAGCTTTTTCTAAATTCAACTATAAGATTTTTCTGATAAACTTGTTGTTCTTCAAAATTGTTAATTTTGGGTCCTACCTGACTGATCACTTGCCATTTTTGCACCATCAGACATCCCCCATGTACCATCTCATGTGTATATCCATTTGCTTTTCCAGTTTGAATATACTGTCACGGCAAGTTCCATTGCCACCTCTGTTATGAAACGGTATATACCAGCTAGTTTGTGCAGCATGGAGTTGCACTTTAATCGTCGGTCTTTTATACTTTCTAGTTGCACCACTAAATACCAGGACTTAAATGCATCCTCCCTAGGCCTGAAAAGGCATACTATTGTGTCACTAAATGATAATTTATGGTTGTCAAACAGACAATTTATTAGTTTAGTATATCTTAGATATTCACTTCCACCATGGATCCATGCACAAAGATCCTGTCCTTTTCATGCTTTGATCTCTTCCATTTAGAGAAATCATGTAGATGCTGGCTTCGCATATGGTAAGAGTGGTACTAATTTATTTGTTTCTGCACTTCCCGTTCATCTCACTTACACTTTTTGTTACTAAATGCAGGTTGGTATCGTTTATGAGGGGATGAAATTTCCTTTATGGTTGCATGGACATGTTATGGTGGAATTTCTTGTGGCCTCTACATCTCCTAAGAAATCGGTAGGTAAGAAAAATACAATCATGTGCTCTACATCCATGTCATTTGTTGCTTACGATCTAGATACTTCTTTTTTAGTGATTACTTGACCAATCATTGAAAAACGTAAATGTTATTCCCTGCAATTGTTGACGCTAAAAAACTCTGTTGTGTATGCATGAATTGACTGCATTATTAGTCTTATCTGGTCATACTAAGCCTCATGGCATTCTTATAAAACGACCATCAGAGGATAATATTATGCTGCTAAATAACATTAGAAAGTTCTGTTCATTAATACCCGCAGTTATTTCTGAAGATTGTATTTCCAGGGATTATTGTGTTCATCCTTCTTGTTTTTCCTGCAAGTCAAAGAACTTTTCCCATCTCCATGTAACATGTGGGTGCACCAATCTAGGCCCTTAAGTAACAATTAATGTCAGAAGAATCTTCAGCTCCTTGCGTCCTTCAGTTGGTAATGCCTTCATGTGGTACACTAGAATTCATTGTTAAGAAAAATAAGTGGTTCCTGTTTGTTCTAGTACACTCTAGCTTCTCAACATGTATTTTCTTTTACTCTCTTCAAGCTATTACAAGCATATTTATGGGCTTATGGTTCGTTATGTTAGGAAAGCCATCTGAACTTTGTGATTGGTTGAAGTTTAATTTCTTATGTATATATGATCATATTAGATATTAATTCTTGCTGCTTTAATGTGCCATTAAGGAAGAGCCAACCATCAATCAATTTTATTTGCAAATATGGTATTGTTGGTGGTGTCAAGTATATTTTATGCTTAGGAAAATTTTGGCCACTGTTTAAATAGGAAAATATCCACATCATTAATGATATAAACATTTTTGAAGTGTCTGTTGCTGACTGGAACAGTAATCTGGGATTTCAGTCGTTCTTTATATGTTTCTGTTTTTCTTAAAGGAAACAATCAATGTGGGAATCTATAACCATTTTTCACAAAGATGATAGCTCATAGACAGCTGAAAAATGTAAATGAATATGAAAAAACAGATCCGATTGTTAATCAGTCATAAATACCTTAGTCTAGGTGAGGCTTTCTTGGTGCAAAACCATGAAACACAGAAGAACACTCGTATGAGCTTCTTGTTCTGAACTCGCAACATTCTTGCACAAGGATGCTATTCCTCTTCGGACATAGCCTAGTCTTGGCATTTATATAATAATGATATCGCTCACTGTTCAATATTTCTCTCCCAAACTTTTGGTGGTAATGTTACTTGCATTTCTTTATTTAACAGTCTCAGTTAATTAATCTCCATCTACTCTTTGTTGATGTTCTTTCCTGACAATCTGACATGATGTAAGATATCTTGGAAGTTGTCCCTTTTTTACTTCCAAGAGTGCCCTCCTCTGTCGATTTCTTGATAACAAGATGAGTGACATTCATTTTCTTAAATGCTACTAATTTTCAATAGTTTCCTGAGCTATCTCTAGTAAGGTTTGACTTACCGGTTCAAGCCGGCGTGTCGGCTGCTCGACGGCATGGCACATGCCATTCCGTATCAGTGTACCAACACATGGTACACTGGTGTATACCAATGTTTTGTCGAGGAAGAAAAAGAGGTTGAAGAAGAAGGTCTGGTGGAGGAACAAAGGAGGAAGAAGAAGAAAGAAAAGGAGAAGTAGTGCAGCAATACCTGGGAAGCAGCTGCAGCAATGACAGCGTTGAAGGGAAGCAGTAGCATCACAGTAGCGAAGAGGTGGTGCCACTGCAGCATCGCAATGGCGAAGCGGCAAAGAGGCAGCGCTGCTGCAGCATCGCAGTGGCAAAACGGCAAAGAGGCAGTGCCGCTGCAACATCGCAGTGTTGAAGCAACGCAGAGGCAGCGCCACTGCAGCATTGCAGTGGCGAATTAGCGAAGAGGTAGCGTCGCTGCAGCGGCAAAGAGGCAGTGCTGCTGCACTTCGCCGCTGCAGCATCGCAGCATCGAAGAGGCAGTGCCGTGGCTTCGTACGCAAGAAGAGCCCTAATATGTTTTTTTTTTAAATGCTGAAATGGACTGGGGCCCATCACTTTTTGATTTTTTTATTATTTTAATGCAGACTGCCCGAAACACGGTGGTCCACGTATTGGTCCATGTCCGGACTGGTACGTACAGCCCAAACCGTACCGTTTCGGGCAATATAGCAATGCCTGATCTCTAGTATTAAGTTTCAGGAGATGATAACTTGCAAATATTTGCTTATGCTTCTTTCTTGCTTTTTCTAATGATTAGATAAGTATAATTTTGTTTTGGTTCTTTTTAGTTCAACTTGTACCAGGAACTGAAGTTTCTGTTGCACCAAAGAAGCGCAAAAATGGAGTAGTTGCACACAAGAGTGCCGAAAAGCAAAATTCAACAAAAGAAGAGCTAAGGATGAAGGCACTATTACGTGTACAAGCACCAAACAGGGAATATGTACATAAATTTGAGTTCAAAGATGTTGAGCTTCGGGTGTTTCTCACTTCTGTGGCTTTTATACATCCAGAAACAGCTAAGAAGTTTTCATTTGAGAATCTTCAAGTAGCAACAGTCATACCTAAATTACAGCAAAAGGAGATCATGCAGAATGGAAATGATATTATTAATGCTAAGCGAGGAAATAATGGGTTTCTCACAGCTAGTAAGATGAAACCAAGACATACTGTTGTTCATATTGTGTACTCTGACTCAGTAGGAAAAGGCCATGTGATACTTCCTCAATCTCTTCGTTATTTCATAGGATCAGGTGTACATTCATGTAAGTTCACAAAACTATATTGTTTTGGTGTTGATGTTTTAATAGTTTGGTTCTTATTTTCCTTTTGTTTTGTTGTTTGAGACAATGTTAGTAGAAGATGACACTAGCGGTAGTTTAATTTTTATCTTGAGTTGCCATTTTTTTTGGAAATGGAGCCTGGGATCTTCTTTATGATGTTCCCATGTTAGATCGATAAGGTGATTTCTGAAGCTTAGAATCCTTTGATAGTTAAATTGTAGCTAATTTAACATTGACTTTACTTGGTTAGTTTTAAAATTTATATGTTATTCTATACGAGTTGTGATATTACTTTGCTGGTTGTTGGTTGGGTTTGAGAAAGATGTTAGTTATGTTTTTTGTGTAGCAGTTTATGTTGCTCCTGCAGTTCTGATTATCTGATCTATGGTAGTTCCTTAGATACAAATAATAAAAAGGAACACCCGTTGGACTCTGTAAGGATGTCCATATGCCATAATTCACGCAAAAAGGATTTTGGACATAATGCAGTTTGAGAGATTGATGTATGGTTTTATAACAGGTTGAGCTGGGCAAGGCTTCTAGTTAGTATTGTTTCTTCTAGATAATCAAGGAAAATCAGTTGCTCTTAAATCCCTTTCAATATTAACATCAATTCGGGATGTCAGCCTGAGGCTGATGAGGAAAGAAGAGGTCATTATATGAATGGAGAGTGGTAGAGGCCACTCGGGTCATGACTGTTTCTCCTAATATTGATGATATGATAAATGATTATAAGGTTGTGGCTATGAAATTCTTTTTTTCTGATCATGTTTATCCTTATTTTTCAATTGATTTGTGAGATTTGATCTTCTAATTTTGTTGAATTTTTTTTGGCAAATCTTTTTTTTATCTAGATTTAGTGTTTGATATCAACAAATTGTTTACAACAATAAGACATTTTTTGGACATGTGGTTCATTGCCTACTATATGTAAATTATTGGATCAGTAGGCTGTAGGACTGGTTTTAGATATATCATGATTGAGCCCAAATAAGAGAAAGTTGCCAATGAATGGGCCATGAGATACTTCATGACATAAAGTAGAATTATGATCTAGATCATTAGATGGGTCTACTACCGGAAATTCAGGTTTTAACTTTTAAGTATTTTTGGGCCACGTGGAATCAAGCCTCCAAAATTATTGAGTCGGTCAATCTATCAGGTTGGGTTGTGACAATGCATGTTTCTATAACTTTCATAAATTATGTTTATTTTCTCATTCTTTTCTATTAAAAGTTTCATTTATATGTTTTCAACATTGTGTTTGAAGAGTTTAAGACAAAAGATTAATCATATGAATTTAAATGGAGACACTGGGGACAAGCAAAGAGTTTAAGACAAAAGATGAGTTGCTGTCTCCAAATTTGTTTATCTTACTAATAAATGTTACTGCACACTGAGAAGGCTACCCATCATTTTCAGGGGTTTATATAAAGAATTATTTGAGAAGTTCAAAGAAGGATATCCGTTCAATGAAAATTTCTCCTTGTCGGTTTAAATCATTTGGAAACGGTATTCTCGAGAGCCACACATTTCTTAGGCACGAAGGCATGCCTTCCAATGCAGATATTTTCCGCAACGGAGATATGGCAGACTGGTCGCATCATGAAGGTCCTTTCTCTTTTTTGTCTCATGAAGCTCTTCTACGTGGAGATGATGACAGTGTTACTTTTCGAACAAAATTGGAGAAAAATCTGCTTATCAAATTATGGGTTATTGGACAAATAAATGTAGTTGGATCTCAAAGTGATCAAATGAAGGTTAACTCTGTAGTTTTAACAAATGAAACATTGCTTCACTTTGAAATAGTTGATCATAATAAAAAGAAAGAAAATATTCCTTCCCAAGGTACATTGGAGAGGGAAAATGGGGGGGCAGAATATAGAGTTGAGCTTCTGTATCTACTTGGAATTAATTCTAATGAGTCATCAAAGGGTGATTTGCATGATAGCTTTGAGTTTGATATCAGCACCATAAGCAAAAACAATGATGATTTGCATGACTTGGAGCTGGAACTTGGAAAATTGGAGTTGGGGGACCCAGTATCTCTTGACTCGATTTCGGAAAATGATTTCAAAAGGAACTTTAATATAACCTTATCTTCTTTAAGCTGGTTGGAGACATCTATTTCCGATGTTATTAATAGTAAGTATTTTCAATTGTGCTGGTGATCTTGATGAAATACTATGGAGTTTTGGTGTAATAAGAGTGTCTTCAGATAACAGTTTCTTTATGTTTCATGATTTCTTTCAGGATTGCTCATCCTTCTATCTCCAAATTCTGGCAAATTGTTTTATGCATATGATCTTCCATCTCCCGGGCATGTGCTTATTTATGGACCTCCTGTAAGAAAGTTTATCTGATGCTTCACTATTTTTGGATAAAATTTTGTTTGTCTCTCTTGTTTGCTGACAAAAATATATTAAGCCCTTTCCTTTTCTTCAAGTCATTTGTGTCATGTTAAACACAACTGATTGTTTGTGACTATGCATACTTATGTGATGCTTGGCATGCTTGTGTTTTATTGAAACCCACATGGAAACTGTGGTTAGATAAAGTCATCCATTGTTGGACTTTCTCGTGCAGGAGAACTATTCAATAGATCACTAAAGCTCAGTTTGACGTACTTGACTGTGATTGCTAGAGTTAACTCTATTAGTGTATTTGAAGGTGATTTTTGTTCCGTTATCAGATGCCTTCTAGTTTTAGGTCTTACAGAAATTTTGAAACGATATATGTTGAAGTAAGACAAGATTTTTCGCTACTGGGTCCTCCTAATAGTTATTGAAGAACATGATAATGATATTTGGGACTGTAGTCTGGAGCTAAGATGAAAAATCTCATTGGTTATGGAAAGATGAACCTTAAAACACTTAGCAAGCAAGACCAATCTCAGTGCAGGCTCACTAAAGTGCAAATTCATGATGCACTGAAATGTTTGTCATAATGTAAAATCACAAATTATTTTTGATATTCTTTTAAAATGATTGTTACAGCTAAATTTGGAGAGGAGGTTCATATGCCGTACACTATAGAAAGTAATGTATTTCGTGCAACAGATTTATGGAGTATTTATGCTTGGATAATATTTTTAGTTCTTTTATCTAGTATTTGAATGAACTCAGGGGTCAGGAAAATCTACATTAATGAAGGCTGTTGCTAGGCATTTTGAAGAGCATGAAGAAATTTTAGCTCACATGTAAGTAAATGAACTTGTTTCACCTGTGCTGATTCTTTAATGATGCTTTATTTGCTTGATGGAACTGAAACTGTGCTTCAAGTATCATTTAAACAATTGAAGAAATGCATGGGAAAAATTCTCTTTTTACTTATAGCCCTGATGAATACCGTGACATGCAGAGTTTATATAAGCTGTTCAAAACTTGCTCTTGAAAAGAGCCAAACAGTCCGGCAAGCAATTTCAGGCTACATATCTGAAGCTCTTGGTTCTTCACCTTCCATCGTCATTTTTGATGATCTAGACAATGTAATTTCATTTTCTTCTGATGATGAAGGATATCAACCATCCAGTTCGGCTACTGCTCTAGTGAATTTATTCATCAATATTCTGGACGAGTATGGGGTATGCTTTGGTCACTGATTATTTGTTTTCTCTGGACAGTTTGATGTGCCAATTTAATTCAATTAACTGCAACCTAAAAACTTAAATGTTACTATGCTACCTTTTGTGTTGCACCAACTTATTTTGCTGGTCTATGTCAAATAGGAGAAGAGTCGGAACTCTTGCGGATATGGACCTGTTGCTTTTGTAGCTTCTGTGCAGTCTCTTCAGAATTTACCCCAATCTTTGTGCTCTTCAGGTTCTTTTACTTCAGTCATGTACTGAAACTTATGAAATTTAAGGTTTTGTGTTCATCTGTTTGCACAAAAAGGAAAGGTCTATGCTGAAGCTGATTCATCTGTTGCATCAAAACACTGAATATTTTAAATATTTTTTCTCAGGGAGGTTTGACTTCCATGTTCAGCTTTCTTCTCCTGCTGTCTCAGAACGTGGTGCAATACTGAAGCATGAAATTGAAAAACGCACTTTACTATGTTCTGAGGATGTGGTATCTGAAATTGCTACCAAATGCGATGGATACGATGCTTATGACTTGGTATTACTTTCTTTTTCTTTAGTTATTTCTTTCCCTCTATGTTTTGTGGTGTTTGTGACATATCCGTTGAGTATGATGTTAGTCTTGATGGATATATGACAGCTTGTTCTCAATTTAACAGCTGGTAGATGTTGACTTTGTATTGAAGAACATATTTCTTTGAATCCACGTTTGTGCATTTGTGCTTAATATTTTGGTTGTTATAGCCAACCAAGGTTCGCAATACCATATCGTACCGGTATTTCGACCTGGGCTCGGTACCGGTACGGTACGGTATACCGAGCGATACACCCAGGTGTACCGAGCGGTACACTCAGGTGTGCCGAGTACTGTAGTACTGCTACAGTGCGTGCACTGCTACAGTGCTACAGTGCACTCGGACCGGTAACAGGCAGTCCACGTATCGGCAACCTGTCGGACCGGTACGTACCGCCCGTATCGGACAGTACAGTTCGGTACTGCAGACCCTGTAGCTAACTATACATAGTTAATATGTTGCTGTGTTGGTTGTAGTGATTTAAAAAGCGTTTGGCGCTAAGATCAAAAAACGCTCGAGGCGCTCACTCAAGCGAAGCGAGACGCTAAAATATAAAATATTTAATATAATTAATAAATATAATTATTTAAATAAAAAATATGATATTAAATTAAGAAAATCTTGTAAAATTATAATATCACATTAACAAAATGTCTCAAAATTCAAAACAATAACAATAATTTCAAATAAATAAAAATTAACAGTATTAGAATCAAAATAATATATTATTAATCTAATAAATAAAAATATTGTTACTAGTATACAGTTAGTAGTATACTATTAATATACTGTTAACAGTATACGAAGTGAGAAGAGTGTGAGTAAGAGAAAGATCAAGGCTACTGATTGAGAGCAACGACAACAGGAGCAGGAGCGGGAGTGGGAGCGGCGAGCGATGATAGTGGCAGCGGGAGTGGCGAGCGACGACAGTGGCAACTGGCAACGACAGTGGGAGCGGGAGTGGCGAGCGACGACAGTGGTAGCGGTAGTAGTGAGCAGCGATAGCAAGAGCGGCGATAGTGGCAGCGACAGTGCTAGAAGCGAGCAGTGGTAGCGGGAGCGGCGACAGTGGCTGTGGCTGCGGGAGCGGGAGTGGGACCGACGATAGTGGCAGCAGCGGCGGTAGCAACGAGCAGCGGCAGCGAGAGCGGGAGAGGCGAGCAGGGTTAGGGTTAGGGTTGGGAAGTCGCGAGGGGAAGGCTGATATCGGTGCTTTAGTTGGTTCGATTGAATCAACTAAAGCACTGGAGACTGAACCAGACCTAAAACACTGGTTCGGTCACCTGGTTTAACCCGGGCGCTCGCCCGAAGTGCCCGACGCTTGGGCTCGGGCGAGCACCCGAGCGGCGCCTATTTGAAGAGTGTCGCCTGGAAATGAAGCGAGGCGCTTGGGCCTTGCCTCATCTCGCTTGAGCGCCTAGGCGAGCGCCCAAGCGCCTATTGAAATCACTGGTTGGTTGAGACAGTAGCTCTTACCATGTTTGTGTTGGAGAGTGGGGCTATGTTGCCAGTCATATGATTTTTTCTATATCCTTGTGTAAGCCCTTTCTTTACTAGTTCCTCCTTTTGTTTGTGTATTCCTTGAGTTTCATAGATAATATTGAGTTGCACTTCTCCATCAATTATGTCTCAGTGCCTTTTGTCCTTTGTCCTTTGTGACATAGATCTCATTTTAGTGAAACCTTTTTTAATGCGGACAGGGCTTATCATTTGTGTACCATTTCCATTAGTTTGTTTCACTATCTCTGTTCATCGTTAATCCACGCTAATTGCCACCTAGGTTTTCAAGATCCATAATAGTGTTTATCACTGTTACTTCAAGACTACATGCTGTATTTAGGGTGCTGAGTGTTGCTAATGCATTAATATATGTGCAGGAAATCTTGGTTGATAGGGCTGTTCATGCTGCTGTCAGTCGTTTTTTGCCCTCCAGTATTACCAATAGAGATACTCAACCTATTTTACTGAAAGAAGACTTTTCAGTTGCAATGCATGAGTTTATTCCAGTTGCTATGCGTGGTCTCACAAAAGCTGCTTCTGAAGGTGGGCGCAGTGGCTGGGATGATGTTGGTGGACTTGCTGATATCCGGAATGCTATTCAAGAGGTCTGTATGGTCTCCATTTTAATTTTTTTTGTTTTTTTTTTTGTGATATTAGACCATAGGCTTAAGTTGGTGCTTGGGAGTTGGGAGTATAATTTTCATGGTTCATTTTTGGTGCTTAATTCCTTTTGGTGCATAAACATTATTTTCTTAAGTTTGGTTCTTTCAGTGATTTTGTCTCTTGCATGAAGCATCTATTGTAGTTGTATTGTTCATATATTTTCTCATGCCTCGCAGGTGATTTTAGATAATAGCAGAACAGAAGTCTGTTTTTGCATACTGTTTAATTCATTTTCCCTGTAATTGCAGATGATTGAATTACCTTCAAAGTTTCCTGGTATTTTTGCTCAATCACCATTAAGGTTGAGATCAAATGTTCTCTTATACGGGCCTCCTGGTTGCGGAAAGACTCATATTGTTGGAGCTGCTGCAGCAGCTTGCTCCTTAAGGTTCATATCTGTTAAAGGGCCTGAATTACTGAATAAGTATATTGGCGCTTCTGAACAAGCTGTAAGGCACTAGTAGTCACTTTAAGTTCCTATGTGACAAAATCTTGTATGCAATAAGTATGTTGATAACCAGAAATTATGAATACCAATCATTTGCAATATGATGCATCTATCTACATATATATTCGGCATTACATCTCCAGATTCTTCTTTTACTTGCTTCATGAGTCTTCAATTCTTTCCATCTAAATGTGTCTCACTTTATTTTTCTCATATTCAGTGTTTTCTAGTCTTTGTTGATCTCCAGGACAACTGTAATATGATAAACAAGATTTTAAATGTTTCCTATACTGTTCAGGTCCGAGACCTATTCTCAAAGGCAGCAGCTGCTGCTCCTTGCCTTTTATTTTTTGACGAATTTGACTCTATTGCTCCAAAGAGGGGGCATGATAATACTGGAGTGACAGATCGTGTTGTCAATCAGGTTAATTTTTGGCTCATCAGCTGGCTGTCAAAACCAATTCTTGGTTCTGTTTCAATACTTCAAGTAATCTGCAGTTATTGTCTACTGATTGTGGGCATTATTAACTATTGTGTTTGTTTCATTATGTGCAGCTGCTAACTGAATTAGATGGTGTGGAAACCTTAACAGGGGTGTTTGTGTTTGCTGCTACTAGGTGAGTACTCAGTGAGGTAATATGTTTATTTTAAATTACCAAATTTCCCATTATAATTGACAATTAATAAGCTATACTTTTCTAGTCATATTTCTTCTATGACGCAATGCTTAATTTCTCAATCACCAAATTCCTAGACATAATTGACAATTCAGAATTTATTTCTGTGGTCACCAAAGTAAATCTTCAGAAAGAACATAATAAAGTAAGACTAGTGGGAAAGCACAATGTTGCTTTTGCATATGAATTATCGTTTATCCAAGTATATTAATGAGATTGTATTAGCTCAGTGGGGTGCCAGGCCTTAGAACTATGATGGCAAACTCACGATCGCACATTTTGCTTTGAAGTTGGATAAGTATCTTTTTTCCAAGTGCTATCATCTTAGTAATTAATGCAATCTGGTGCATTGTGAAATTAAGATTCTGCTTTAATATTCTTTCTGGATATGATGTTGTCTCTGATTACATGCTTTTTTGCACCTGGTATGACCTACTTTACTGTTGTGGTTTTAGTTTTGGCATACTTCTTTGTATTAGATGCTGCAATTTTTTTTTATATTGGATTTATTGGTGCACTTATATGCCACTTTCTCTATAAGCTTCTATTAGTCATTTTTAAAAGATTTGCTCCATTTCCAGAGATAAGAATTCTATACCAAGTATTTAATTAAGTCATTTAGTGATGATAATTTTCAGTGCAATTCACTGAAAATGCAATACCATGATGCTAGGTTCTCTCAGAAGAGCCTATCCTGAGTGATAGATGACAGGAAAATAGTGGCCAATCTTATCAAACTGTCTTCTAATCTTAAGTTCAGTGGATTATCTTATCATTTAGTCTCTGTCTTTTAGTTTCTCAAGTCCACTGGATCTGCCCTTTTCTGCTTGCAGTATTGACTGCTTTTTTGAGTTCATCATTCTGCTTGTATGTTTTGCTAGTTCTGTAATCCATTAAATATTTCATCATTCAACAGTCGGCCTGATCTACTCGATGCTGCACTACTACGACCTGGAAGGCTTGATCGTCTTCTTTACTGTGATTTTCCAACTTGGCATGAGCGGCTGGTTATTCTTAAGGTTCTGTCTAGAAAGGTTAGCATTCCATCCATTGGTTATCTGTGTGCTCTTCTTTGTTTATCTGTTTCTGTCTTGTAAGTGGATGCATTAATTTTTCATAGCTAGAATGCTTGGGGATCATGAACTGTAGCTATCTTTAGGCATGAAGCACTGATGACAAATCCTCTCAAATCAATTAATGTGATTGGCTTTTAACAAGTTCTATTTGAAAAGGGAGGTTTCAAAAGAATGAGATTGTAACCTTTGTCACTTTTTTTTATCACAGTAAAAAGGAATATGGAGTTTAACTGTACCCTCCGACTGAACTCCTTTATGGATTACCCCGACTATAAGGATGCTCTACAAATGCAAGCTTCTCGCTTTGATATAGAAGAGGGGGAGGCTGTCTTTGATATAAAATGCATGTTCCTTAAACAGGAACGACATACAGAATTACAGAGTAATTTAGCATCAAATTTGGAAACATCAATATTGCTTGTGGTGGTGCAAATGCTTCATCTCCTATATGCATGTCACTGTCGGCAGAATCTTTATCATGCCCTGACATCAGTGTCTTATGAAGTTTATAGCTAAGTAATTCAGTAAAAACGGGCATGCTGACCTCCAGTGGTTCTTCCTGACTCATTGAAATTTGATTTATTCAAAGAGTTTTATCCTACTTCAGCATGATCAGTTTGTATAAGAAGGGACGTATTTACCATGTAATAGAAATGTGTTCTGCTATGATGCTATCAACAGTTCAGGGGCTTATTTACCATATAACGGAAATGTGTTTTTTTCTATTAACAGTTTTACATCTAAAGAATAGAGTCTGATTTGTCCATCTGTTGCAGCCATTTGTTCCTCTTAAATCTCCTTTGGAGAGGTTTCCAAAAATAAATTTTGATTGGAGATCTGTTAAAGGTTCTCTTATTGAATTTCCACTCAGGATCTTAGCTGAATCTGATGCATAGATGCATCGCTTATTAGACCTCTCTACAGAGAAATTCAAATTCTGCTGTCATGTGCATTTATACAGTGTACAAGAAATATCAGGAATCATATCTTTGAAGTTGAATATAATCAGGAACATCCAGGACCAAATATTGCAATCAAAGTGACTGACTAGGATAGGGTTACAATTGCCAGTAAAAAGTTCTGTACTAATGGTAGTGGTAGCTAGATTAGGATAGTGTGAACCTTACCTTATATTGCCAACCTTCTATAGATGTTTTATTTTTTTTTCATTTCCTTGTAAATTAGCTTCCAGCAGGCACATGTTTCAGCAACACTACCAATTCCTTTTCAGATGATATTTGGCTGATATAAGGTCAATAAACTGTCTATTATGCTTGCCCAGAAAAAAAAACATGGCTGAGTAGGTTCTAACCAAATTAGTCCCAAGACCACCAATATTACTTCATCTTAGTAGTAGTGTTAAAGTCAATTGAATCTTGTTGCCTCGGTTAAATGGGCAGTGAAGAGAAGAGTTGTGGAACTTTGCAGGACAATATGACCTTATTGAATGAGGAGTTATAGTATCCATCCTGAAACTTTCATGTGAAGAAAGATGAACTCTTTTAGAGAGAGAAAATAATTTTGATCAGTTTCTCTGCCTTTCTTGATATTAACCATTTTTGAGGGTTGAATTTCTCGATATGTCTCTTTAAGTCTGCATGGAACTGTTTTGTGTTGCTCAGATAATGGGTAACATACAACAGGCCTCATAGTACTTGTCCAATTTTCTTGCTGTTGTTGCTGGTTATTGCTGATAAGAAATGCTCATGGTCTCTGCTAGTGTCTCACTGTCCATGATAGCTGTGCATCATGAATAATCTAAAGAAACATTGTATTATTGGACCTTAGAACCAATAAATAAGTTCATATTTTGCTGTGCCTATGAAGGTAACAACTAGAGATTCAGCTTGAAGTGGAAGTGACACGGTGACATATAAGAAGTTGCATTTACTAAAAACCTTTTCCCTTTCAACGGTTTTTTTTTTCCAGGCCCACATATGCCATTATACATTTAATTCTTGTGGCCAAGGGTGAAGTGTAGTCAATTTTAAAGGATCAAGCTCCATAATGGAAACTATGGCTAATAAGTTGACTACAGATGAGTTGATTTTTTGGTGTATACTAGAAATGATGATGGAGTGAACAAACACTAACTAATGTTCTTAAGTTATCTGTGGTTCGAATCTCAATTACTTCATCATTATATCAATTATTACTTTTTTTTCTCCAATCTTGGACACTATTGTTTGGCCATAAAACAATCAATCACTATGTAGTATGCCATAGCAGCGACTGGTCAAGGGTCATTGGACAAATACAATAATTGGGTAAAGGATAGACAATGCACATCTTTGGCTACCTAGTTGTGTGGACAAGCATTTATACAGATGTCTTATTTTAGCATTAATTTTTTTGAAACAACAGAATATTAATGATTTCTGCTTGTTTCTGAATTATGGATAATTCTGCTTTATTTCATTGCATGGAAATATTGACTGATTCATCTTGAATGGGTCTAGCTTCCTTTGGCTAGCAATGTCAATCTGGAAACAATAGCATCAATCACTGAAGGCTTTAGTGGTGCGGACCTCCAAGCGCTCCTGTCAGAAGCACAGCTTGCATCAGTTCATGAGCTTCTGGATAGTGGAAACAGTGACAACCATGCGAAAACCCCTGTCATCAGCAATCAGCTTCTGATGTCTGTTGCTTCAAAGGCTAGGCCTTCTGTTTCAGAGGACGAGAAGCGCCGGCTTCTCAGGATTTACAGTCAGTTCCTGACGTCAAAGAAGTCTGTTTCTGCACAGGTTCCTTCATAACTTTAATCTGGAGTAGATGCAATTCATGTACAAAGAAATTCATAAAGATTGTTTTAACCTTTAAAGGCGCTTAAGAGATACATTTAGTAATGTAAACAAACACATTCTTTATTTGTAGCACTTCTTCTGCACTGATGTGTTTTTATAGCTTTAAATGTATTAAGTACCATTCAGATTTGTTGTGTTAATAACATAAATTCGCCATTTTATGGATTCTGTTATCTTGTTTTAAAAGTACTTGGTGAATTTTCCATTGGCTTCTAAGACAGATGTAGACTTAAAATCAATTGGTTGATCACTTGGTTCACAAATTGTATTGGCAATTTTGGCTAGTTTTGGCAAATGGAATTTAGATTATTGTTCTCTTTAACAAATAAGTAATTTAGTATCAACCGTCAAGTTTAATCAGATGTACCATTTATCCTTTTCTTTTTGGTTAACAACAGTCTTGTGTTGTACACCTGCTCTCAATCACTGTCATTTACATGGAAGTGCAATTCTATATGACTTATTAGTTCTTTTCTCTTGCAGTCAAGGGATGCAAAGGGTAAAAGGGCAACTCTAGCTTGATAACACCAGATGTGAAACATGCAACTTTGTCACTTACAATAGTGTGAAAAGATTGTCCAGAGGTAGCATCATTTTCTTGGGAACTTGATCCATTCAGGATGCTGCTCCCAACTTGATTATAATGTTCTTTTCTGTGTCTTAATATCAGCAGTAGATGACAGGCTACATGTAAGGAAGTAGGCATCCTTGAAGGAGGCATCACCGTCTTAATGGGTGTAGTATTTGCAGAAAGTACCTAACACAATGCAGAATTCTTGTCATCAAGTGCATGTGCGTTGAATGATCGACATGTCCTTAATATTTCTTCATAAATAAAGATAAATAAAATTATGTATCAATAATAGAATGTAAATCATAACTTACAGGGGATTTAGATTCAAGGTTTTTCTTTTGCCTTGTGGTGGGGGTTTGGAAGTTGACCGGCTGAGAATAGAATAGTTCTTTCATGAAGAATGCAAGGTGAAAATATATGGACTTTCCTTCCTGCATTCATTTATAAGAGCAACTTTTCTTATTCTTTTTCTTTTTCATCATCTTTTTCTAATCATGTTTTACTTTTTTTGTCTTCTTTTTATTTTTTTAACCATGTTTTACTTTTATTCAAGGTTTTTCTTTTTCTTCTTCATTTTTTTATCATGTTTTACTACCAAGAACGTGGGTGATTATAGATAAAATCGTTTACTTGTAAACTTGTTAATCTAAGATTTGTCTTGATAAGTGAGCCTGTACCAATTGTGTTTTATTTTCTTGACTCACCATATCACTTACTCCTTGTATGCATTAATGGAATCACTACAGCAAATAAGAATTCTTTGGTGTCTGCTACATGAATTATCTTGTCATTGAGTTTGATATACATGAATTCTTCGGCACCACTTGAGGTGTTGAGAAAGCTGATTCAGGGAACTCTACTTTGTTGGACATGTTGTTGGAAACTCGCAAATTGGAGAAATAGAAGCTCTGAAGCTGCCTTAAGTTTAGCTGAACCAATTGTTTCAAATCAGGCATTGTCAGGATAAAGGAAGCGGATGATGCATTCTGCATGAACAGGTAGGGCATGTTTCTTGTGAAACAGATGCCATGATTATTGACATCCAAAATGAGGCGAAAGGTGGCTATCTTGATGAAAAGTACTTTGTTCTGGTGCGGAAGGATCTGTTATTGTTCCTTGGATAAAAAATAAAAAGGTTTGTATGATAATTGATTCTAGGGTGTAATGCGAAGCCCATAGATGTGCACTTTAAGAAAAATAATCGTGATATATATCACGTTTAGTATTATTTCTAATCATGCTCAACATTATTTTATTTGAGAAAAATATGTAAAAATATAAAGCACTGGAAAAATAAAAATAATCGTAACAAGATTTTAAAGGGTTTTGAAGCAATTCTAGAGTTTCAACTAAAAAGTAAATTATGTTATTATGAATATATATATATATATATATATATATAGTCTTCTTTTGTAAAAAGATTATTTTGTCATTGGCTCTATTGTATCAGTCATTGTCTCCACTTATGGTCTTATCTTTTCGTTTATCCTTAGTTGTTTTTATCTTTGCGTGTATTTCTTCTATCCTTTGCTCATTGTATCTGTGATAATCGAAGAGGGCGAAAGAGGATCTATAATCCCTCCATACATGTTCTCTCCACCCTTCACTCATATTTACGATGATCAAAGAGAGTGGAAGAAGATCGTTGAGAACCCACCCATTGGGCAAAAATCGTAATCCCCATTGGTCAACGACCATAGTTGGTTGAGGATTGTGTCTTATCTCGTCACAACTCTCTCTACTAAAGGACGATGATGGAACCACGGAAACAATAGCTGAAAAGTGGATTTGCACACAAAGGTTACCGACAAGGATGATGAACAACCAAGGGTTTGTGCGAGGAGGTGTGGGCAACCAGAGGCATAAGATTAAAATTATCTAAAGAAGGGGTGCTCATTTTTTAAAATAAGAGCGTTTTATAAAAATTTCTCAAAACTAAATTTTTTTTTGAGAATATATATATATATATATATATATATATATATATATATATATATATATATATATATATATAGACACACACACACACATGAAAATATACAAAGAAAATTAGCAGAGATAGAGGTAGATAAGAATTTACTTGAAACTATAAATAGAGATTTAAATACTTTTTAATTTAATTAATAATATTATTTTACATAAATTTTAATTATAATATAAATTTCATATAGCTGATCGAAAATAATTGAGACAAACTTGATATCATCATCAAAGATAAATAATTTTGAAAGTGATAATATGTATATACATATATGAAACATACCCAAAACTCTATTATTTTGAGTTTCATGAATCTTATTTTCCTTTTGAGTCTCATGGTTTGTTCCTTTTGGTTGGGATATCGAATGAGTTGGATTCTTGCAGTTGGATGGAATTGCATAATTCTCATAATTTTTACTAGTATAAAAAAAGTGCCAAAATTTAAAATATAAATACATTTATGCTATATTATTTGCAAAGACAAATGTGACTTCTTCCAGTCCTCGTCATCGTCACCATCTCGGGTCGGCGAGTTGAGGTCCAACTTGGGCCTCTTCTTGAGCTCGCCTATGACCGGCACGTGCACGGCACACCTCGGGCACCTGGGGTCCACCGACGAGACGAGCACGTAGAGGAGGCACACCGGGCACCCGGCGACCGTCATCGCCGCCGCCGCCCGCCCCCGCTCGCCCATCAGCGACCCGGGGCCGGGGCCATCCTCTTCCGGCGCACGCCGCTTGATCACCGAGAAGGAGGAGGAGGTGGTGGTGGTCGACGAGGAGCGCGGCGAAGGGGAGCCGTCGGATCGGCGGGTCGCGCGCTCGAGGGCGGACTTCACCTTCTCCAGGGTGCAGACACTCTGGTACGCCGAGGGCGCGGGCGCCGCCGCCGCCGCGTCCGGCTGCGGGACGAGGGCGGCGGTGGATGGTGGAGGTAGCGCGAGGTTGAGATTGTGGAGACAGGAGGGAACCGGATCAGGGTCGCGCTTCTCGAGGTAGGTCTTTCCATGCTGCAATTGATCGAGAATTAGGGACTTAGAGGATAAGAAAGAATGATAAATATGGAATCTAATAGGTTTATTCTGTGAATTCTTGTGGGAAGAGCTGTTCTTTTCATTCGGGAAATTCCGTATCAGCCGGTGCTTGATTTGATTACAGTCGAGGGATTTACAGAAGAAACGATGAAAGTTTCAGCAGAATTCAAATGAAAGTATCGATTTCCAGCAGGACTACTACGACGAAAACTTGGGGATTAGATCGGTAAAAAAGGACCCATTAACATAAAAATTCAATCTTTTGCCATGTTTCGCAAATTCAAATTCAAAGGAACAACCAACTGGGAAGAGACAAGAAGAAGATCCACGAGCTTCAAGAACGTACCAATAGATCAAACCGTCTCTCCCAACCCATCGGAACACGGAGCTCAAGACCCACCTCCGCAGATCCGAGCACTGCTCCGCCGCCACCGAGCAAATCCCTTGTGACAAGCTCCCTCTTCCCCTCTCCTTCCTCCTCATAACCCCTCAGCATCCTTGATAACGAGCTCACCTCCGCTGCCATTAACCTCCTCTCCCAAATCATCAAACAAAAGAAGAGAAAGAAGAGAAGAGAAGGGAGCTATTGCTTCAAAGGAGTTCACATAACAATACAGAAAGAAGCCGCATTTATACATTTATATACTGCTTTCAGATGACTGTAAGTATGGGAAACATTAATGGTGTCAATAAATGAAAAATTCTGAGGGTGGATGATTAGATAAGCCACACAGATACAGTTATTTAATAATTGACTTTTGATACATGGCAGAGTCTGTCAATGGTTAATGAATCCTAGGAAGGGGGAGGAAGAAAACTCCAGGAGTGTAATGTAGTCTAGTACCTTCCAACTGTGTGAATCCTGAGAATAGAAGAAACCTTTTATGTGCAAATCTTGTGCATGTAATGGTTTCACTTTTTTGATGTCCAGCTTTTGGTATGGCTTCATGTACTATATCTCTTATTGATCAGTGCTGAATCTATCTGCAACTGTGTACAGGAAGGATTCACGTACAGTATATGTCTTTTACTTGTATGTCCAATCGAATAGCATATGTCAGTTATTGATAGTAGTACATTATAGTGGTATTTAAGGTGCCAAGTAGCTAAGGAATCTGAATAGTAGTTTAACTTTTAAAATATAGATACCAATAACATGGTTTTGTTCTGGAAAATTATAAAGTTGTACCGTATAAGGTCTGTATTGGTAACTAAAATTTAACAGCAAAAGATCTCCCCAAAATATAGCAAACAATGCCTGTAAACCGGTAAAATTTGTCTAATGAAAATATCCTAATTCATATAAAAATCTCATTTGTCCAAAGGCTATCAGGAACCTAGGATGGATATAAGACTCTCTAAGGTGTATGAAAGATCACAAGGGATATTCCAGAGGTATTGGCAGAATGACTTAATATATCATGATTGTAATGGTGTAATGAGCATCATTATGACTGCTGTTGATACAAAGATGATACTGATCCATGTTTGGTACCGACTGGAGCATGCTGGTAGTTAGGTCATATGAAGGTTGTACATATTTGGGTATGGTGGTTGGATTTAATAGGATGCTGATACCTGTCAACACAGGCAGGATCAACATCTGATTACCAGGAACAGATAAATATTAAGATTTTGTTTAAATTAGAGAGTGATGTTAGAAGAGATCTGTACATAGCTACTGTGATGAAAATGAGGAGAATGCAGAAGACACCTTCTCTTAATGCAAATGGAATTTCTATTCCAATGAAGACAAGGCGTGAATTTACTAGACAGTCATATAAGGTGGATTGCTTTGGGAAAACAGAAACTCTTGCTGTGCCAAGGAAAAGATTGGTCATGCAACTGATCTAGACAAATTTAAGATAAGCAGGATGCATGTCAAAAATCTCCCAAGAAACTGTAGAGTTCTTACAAAGCATCAGTTTTGAAAATAATATAGTTACATTTCAGACATGCAAATTAAGCTGCCGAACTATGTAACCTGCAAGTTTTATGATGATCTAACTACATGTATAAATTGTATGAGAACCTGGTTGGCATGGCACAAAAGAAGAATAAGAAAATTTGTGAACAATAAGCTTTTCTCAATGTATTCATCTATCTTGGAGATAATTAATCTATTACTTACAAACCTTTTCTCTAAAGCAAAGGTTACTTTCACAATAATGCCAAGGTTTTTTAGTTGATCTTATTGTTGGTATGTCAGTTGTTTTCCAAATAGTGTGATGAACTGTCATTATTTTTCCTTTTTGTACCAATCCTTAATTTTGAAAGCAAATATTTCTATTTTCTATAGAATGATTTAGCTGTTTTAACTTTTGATGTTCAGGTTCTGTATTAATTAACAAGCTTGTTGTTTGTAAATCCTAAATTGTTTTGGTTAGTCTGCCAAATTTGATCACAGTAAAACTAATGCTGTGTAACTCTGAAGAATCACACATAGATATAACTAGGTATATCTGTGTTCCCCTAGGTTAGTTTTACATTTCTGTATGTTGTTTCTCATATCATTTCTTCAATTTTACAGTGGCACAACCTTTGGGGAAAAGGTACAAGATGATTTACTAAGAGGACTCTTATGATTCTTCTGATCATTGATCACAAAGTTTCTAATGATCATCATTTATCTGTCAAATATTTCTGTTCCACGCCATCTTTGCAGTAGCTCTATCACTGCAAAGACTCTTGTGATCATTGTCCAAGTCATTGGGTTTTGCGACCATCTTTTGCCGTATCTCTGGCAGTAATGATTTACCAGGTACTTCATCATTTTACATGGCATTTCAACTTGTGGAATTTGTTGCTGAACTAAATTTCATATCACAATGAGTTAGTAAAAAATTCCCCTGATTCTTCTGAGCTGGTCCTAAGTATTGAGAACTCATCTCGCAATTATCTTTTGCTGTATCTAACAGAAATGTCTATCAGTTACAGATTCCCAATGTGCCAAACTTGTGAATTTTTTTTGCTCAATAATGCTGTGTCACGCTTTTGTAGTAATAGTATATATTATTCATGCGTGCAACATTTGCATGGCAACATGCACTCTCTAGACCCATTAGTAGGGCCATTGAAATGTGATAAAGTCGTAGAGCTATCTGATCAAATTGATTCCAATTGTTATTTGTATATGTGTAGCGTGGGATTATAAAATGTAAAAGATAAAAGTCAAGTAGTTGTCATATTCGAAGGAAAGAGCTATAAGCATTTAAGATGGATCACAAATCTATGAAGAGACCCAACAGACTCATCAATTCTCTTAACTTCAGTGGGTCCGAGTCTCATCAAAGCTTCCTCAGTATTTAAACAAACATAAATGCCATCACCTCACTTCTTTCTCTAGTCACATTGTGCATTGATGAAGGGAAGACAGTTGAGACTTTATAATGGCCATTTATGAGGTACTGACCTAAGCTTCATCAGTTCACCATATGGAGGTAGCAACCACTGGATTCTGTGTGCCTTTCAGTGTAGTGCTCAGTGATCAATTGGAGATATGATGTTGCCTGTTCAAGACTTGCACTTTTTGGGTGCCCTTGCACAATGAGGTGGAGAGGTGGTTGGCTTACCTGTCTAAAATAGATTGAGTTATGCAACGCAGTTAAGGTGTAAATAATGCTGATGGATTGATTTAGTCAGGTCATAAAGGGCTATAATAAAGGTGGAGTGGCTTTTGGATTTATGTCCATTTAATCACATGGAAATGAATTTGGGTGGATGGTTGGATTTTAACTTGAATCATTATGTTGCTTAGAGTCTTAAATGATGTTTATCTTTTCTACGGGGAGGATGCCTAAATAATGGATCTGATTCCAATCCTTTAAAAAAAGCTTATTTTTGTTTCTATTTCTTTCAATTTATTTTTTTTCATGAAAAATATTTCTTAGTCCGTGAGATAAATTATTTATTTTAATGCATACTAGGTCAAAGAATTGTGTAGTTACAGTAAGAATATGCAAAAGATGTCTTGGTTCCAAATATTTTTTTGGGTTGGGGGGTGAGAGGGGAATTGTTGGTAAAAAAGCCAAATTATTCTGTGTGCTTTTTCTTCTTTTATTTTTATTATTTTGAAGTAAATCACAATATCAAGGGTATCCAGTCTGAAACTTAAATAGTTAATCTGAAGCTAGATTTAAAAAGCTTCAAAGGTAGGTACTGTGCACATAATGCGTTTGACTAGTCATATGTTTTCATAACTTGTTCTCTGTTATTAATTTTCTTGTTGAATTTGGCCTTATTTCTTATTGTGCTACAAGTACATCAATTATTACAGTTATTACTGTGTTGCTATTATATCCTTTAGACACTGAAAGTCTTTAGTATACAGATTCAGTTATACTTAAGGCACTTTATATTTCAAACACCAACAAGGAAGCCGCATAATTCATGCAAGAGCTTCACCAATTGACCATTTGCACAAAAACTCGTCAGTCATTTTCATGGATATTTAATGGTCTACAGTTTGATTATCTTTTCCAACTGTCTTCATAAATTCGTTTGGATGCACTGATGGACAATTTTCGACATGTAGTTTATGTTCGAGAAATCATATTCATGAATTAACAATAAAGAATATAGAACTTTTGCATTCATTTTAAATAAAACACTACTTCTGGGATTGGCTCTCCGAACAATCTGTGCTTGCTTTGTTTGGACGTTTCAATACAAAGAAAACTTCTCAGCTCTCAATTGCATATTTTCTTGTTGATTGTGATCTGACAGAAATTGATTTTTGCATCTTTTGATACAGGATAGCTGAGTTTATGAAACGTCATTTCTTAAAAACAAGGACTGAGTTTGTGAAACTTCATTTCTTAAAAACAAGGAACAATTATGAAATAGATTGCCTGGTTGAAGAACCAGACCTTAAGTTCAATGGATGGTAAGATATTGTTTTTCCAAGTTTTATCAATAATTTAGTTGTCCATGCATATTTCCTGTAGTTCTTTAAATTAAGGAAAGTGCTTCTCACTCCCAATTTTTGAAATGCAATCGAATATCGAAAAACTTTATGCAAAATTATATAATATTTTCATACATCTTTTGGGGTACCATTTGTATATGGGATGAATGGAATTTCATGATGTCAAAAAAGTGGGCAGTTGACCGAGTCTCGCTCATATGAGACACTAGTTAAATTAGTGTAAAGTTATAGAAGCAAATAGATCACGTAATGTTTGAAGGAAACTATATTTTATATGATATTCTTATTAAGCACCTTAGGCAACCATCCAACTTGTAGGTTGAGTTGCTTGGTGATAGATATGGATGTTTATGCAACATGTGTAGCACACTTATGTATGAACTGACTCCATGAAGCTAACAGAACTATATCTTGGTCCTTGGGCAGATTGATAGAAATCCTGTATGTACTAGCATAGAGACACCTAGTACACAAGCATGCTAGTACAAACCAAAGTGAAAGAGGAAGAGAAGAGGGAAGGAAGAGAACATGATGATTATAGAGAATTTGCATCATTTATTTTACTACAAAAACATGATGGAGCATCTCCATCAAAGGTTGGGAGAGTGCATCTATTGAGTGTTCAGGCTCTTATGCTAGTGCTGCATAATGACACTAAATGATTGTTATGTGTGTGAATTGATTGTATGCTATGACTATAATGTGTGAATATTGCTTAATGATTTATATTTATTTCCTGATTGTCTACTGTATAGGAGATTTTCATTATGAAAGTTCACTTTTGATTTTTGAAATTCTTAATGTTCCCTACTTAGCCATGTGATTATGGCACCATATGGTGGACTTCTAAAAAGTTGATTATGCACATTTCGATAATCTTGGTAATGGAATTAAGTCATGTCAGGGCATAACATTTAGCCTGTAGGAAAAGATGGATGGTGGGATTCACTGAGTTCAAAAAGGGCATGGACCTTTCTGTCACATTGATGTTGGAATTTACAGGAAATACTTGGATCAATACATGCATGCATTTAATAGGCTTGATAATTGGGTAAATACATGCATTTAATAGGCTTGATCAATACTAGAAAGAATTTTAGCAGTACTAGAAGATACTTGGATCAATACATGTGTGCATTTAATAGGCTTGATAATTGGGTAAAAGACCATAAATCATTTAATATTTGTTGTAATGTAGACATGACTTTGTAGCACATGGCATTGGGTGGCATGCTTACTACAATATTGAAACTGAGTTGGGAATGTACATATACTCCTATTCCTATCCATTCATTAATTAGACTTTGCAACTAAATGAGCAGCAACACAGAGGAGAAATGTCAATTTATAGGAAATGAAATCATTATCATCACTACCATGAAAGAACAATGTACAAAAAACTGTTGATTTATGTGGTATTGGCTGCTGAAGTTGCCTTGTTCTGTCCAAACTGAAGAAGCATTCAGGCTAGTTTTGGATAATGCTTCTATAGTGTACAAATGATAGTTTTTAGTGTATATATTATTAATTATCCATACTTCTCCTTTTGACTTACTGCAACTTATATGATGTCCTGCTACAAATATGTGCTAGCTAACTTATGCATGTACTGATATATATATATATATATATATATATATATATATATAT